TCCCCCTACAGGGGGATTTTCGACGAAAAACAAAGAATACTCCCAAAATGCGCCGAAAAGGTTAAACAATACCCACCAAAAATAGTCCCCAGACTATCTTTGGACTATTCTTTGATTATTTTTGGGTATTTTCTATTTTTCGTCGAAAATCCCCCTGTAGGGGGACACGCCCGAGTTAAGGCTTGCCCTCGTCCCCCCTCTTGGCAGACTTCCTCGGGGCCCGCCCAGCTCGACCCCCTGGCCGCGTCCGCACCCCAGGGGCAGCCGAGACTCCGAGACCGCCCCGGTTGCCTGATCGGGGGGGGCGGGTCGAGGCGTGCTCGGGGCACCTCCGTTGTGATTACCTACCAGACCACCCCAACCCAACCCGAAGACCCGAATTTCGGGTGGGGTGGGGGGTAAGGGTTCCATATGTGTTTTTTCGATGTTTCCCGACACCCCCCCCACTGGAAATCGAGGGTAAATCTGAGCCTTCGGGTTGGGTTGGGGTGGTTTGGTGGGTGGTGACGTTGGGAGACAGCTTGTGGGAGGCCGGCGACAGAACGATTCGGGAGTAGCGAGCCCGCTTCAGAAGCCATGAGGCCAGATCAGCCCAGATGAAGTCCGATGAAGCCTGGTAGTATGATACTCAACAGGACCAAAAGAGATGATGCCGCATCGGGCCAGCATTCGACCACGGACGAACCAGCACAGGGACCCGGGACAGACAAACATCCCTGAAGAACATGAGGCCCTCCGACGGCCAAACTGAAGGACATTCGAGAGCACCCTCCCCCCAGGATGCACAAGAGCATTCAACAAGTACGAAGAACATCAGGGTATACACGTCGTTCATTTCTAATCGTGTTCATTTCTAATCGTGCTCGTTTCTAACTGTTCCTGACCCCCTAGTGGCCAGGAATAGGCCCAAGATAGAATCATCAGACATGAAAGAATCTTGCCCCCCCCAAAAAATCAAAGAACTCTCGAATAATTAGAAATGAGCAACGTGTACCCTCCCCGAACCGACCTCGATCTTATACCCCGGTCCGAGCGTACACGTCGGTCGGGAGAAAAATGTAAAAACACGATCGACCCACGAACCCGGAAAGGAATATAGAAATGTAAGGCATGGCAACATTTCAAAGACACCTGATTGGGCGACGGGCACACGCAATGCTGAAAGTATCGATATTGATGTACCGTGCCGAGGGCTGTGCTTGAGCCATGCCGCGATTGTGCTTTATAGCGTCGTGGATCGAGTCCTCCTTTGCATCCGAGTTCTGATCGAACTGATCTGGATCTTGAGCTCGAGCTGCCTCAGCACATAGAAGCTGCCCCAGAGCCAATTGACAGGGGAACATGCCAGGAGGACGCGCCGCGGAACGTCCCAAAGGACGCGCCAGGAGACGTGCCAGGGGACGTGCCACGGGCACGCACCGCGGGACGTGCCGAGGGGACGCGCTACGGAACGTGCCAATGGTCGTGCCACGGGACGTGCCAGGGGACGCGCCGCGCGACGTGCCAGGGGGACTCGCCACGGGACGTGCCAAGTTGCAATGTTGAATGTATCGGTCTTGACGAAGTCTGTGCTGTGCTGCGCCGTGCTGAACTGCGATGTGTCATGCCGCGATTGTGCTCTATAGCGTCGTGGATCGAGTCCTCCTTTGCATCCGAGTCCTGACCGAATTGATCTGGATCTTAAGCTCGAGCTGCCTCAGCACATAGAAGCTGCCCCAGGGCCAATTGACAGGGGAACATGCCAGGAGGAAGCGCCGCGGAACGTCCCAAAGGACGCGCCAGGCGACGTTCCAAGGGACGTGCCACGGGGACGCACCGCGGGACGTGCCGAGGGGACGCGCTACGCGACGTGCCAGGGGACCTCCCCACGGGACGCGCCACGGAACGTGCCAGGTTGAAATGCTGAGTGTATCGATCTTGAGGTACCGTGCCGAAGGCTGTGCTGTGCTACGCCGTGCTGAACTGCGATGTGTTGTCGATCGAGTCCTCCTTTGCATCCGAGTCCTGATCGAACTGATCTGGATCTTAAGCTCGAGCTGCCTCAGCACATAGAAGCTGCCCTAGAGCCAATTGACAAGGGAACATGCCAGGAGGACGCGCCGCGGAACGTCCCAAGGGACGCGCCAGGCGACGTGCCAAAGGACGTGCCACGGGGACGCACCGCGGGACGTGCCGAGGGGACGCGCTACGGCACGTGAAAATACGTGGTCCTCGGGACAACCATGTTAGACATCCCCCTGGATGGCCCGGACACCTAAAAACACATGGTGCCAGCTTGGGAAACCATGTTGGATACCCCCGGAGTGGCCTGGACACGTGAAAACACGTGGTTCCAGCTCGGGACCACCATGTTAGATACCCCCCTGGGTGGCCTGGACACGTGAAAGCACACGTCTCCAGTGCAGGACCACCATGTTAGATACCCCCCTGGGTGGCGTGGACATGTAAAAAGCACGTGGCTCCAGCTCGGGACAACCATGTTAGATACCCATCTGGGTGGCCTGCACACGTGAAAACACGTGGTTCCAGCGCGGGACCACCATGTTAGATACCCCCTGGGTGGGACCACCATGTTAGATACCGCATGGGTGGCTGGGACAAGTAAAAGCACGTGGTTCCAGCGCGGGACCACTATGTTAGATACCCACCTGTGTGGCCTGGACACGGGAAAACGTGGTACCAGCTCGGGACAACAATGTTAGATACCCACCTGGGTGCCCTGGACACGTGAAGCGACGTGGTTCCAGTTCGGGCAGAACATGTTAGACACCCTCCTGTGTGGCCAAGGAAATCCTAGAAAACAAAAGAATTAGTCGAGACACCCTCGAAATTCCTGCGCGCGGGACGCGGCACGCGCGAGACATCTTCGGAATTCCTGCGCGCGGGTTGCTTTGCTGCGTCGCGGTCGGGGCTCCAGACCTAGTGTTTTTTCTCGAGGATTCCGCACAAAACGCGCCGCACCCCGGTTTTTACAGAGGAAAGCGGTGGTCTGCGGACCCAGTGATTTATCGGGGATCCGAGATGGGGGGCAAACTTTGCTCGAACGGGCACGCGAAAAACGCACTTGTTCAACTGCAAATTCACACTTTACCTCGCAATTCATCGCAAATAATTGGGCCGGCCCTACAGCCGTCGGGTCCGGTGGGAAACAACTAAAAGAGAACCCTGGGCCGATGCCCTTTCCTGGAACATGAAGTAGGAAGGCGGATGAAGTAGATTGGGCCCAGGCCCTCCCAGAGCATCAAAAACATTGCAAAAGCACATCGATTCTTGAGGCAGGAAGCCGCTATCGAAGTAGATTGGGATCTGGGAGCCCAAAAACACCTGCTTTCGACGACCGGCGTGTGAGCCACGTGGGCTGCCCCCAGACATCCGACGGCAATCCTTTTTTTTTTTTGTTTTGCTTTACTGCCAGGGCCACCTGCTTATGACCACTTCAAGAACTCTGGATCGGGATCGCCTGCTAGGCAGGCGGCTCGAGACACTAGCAGCTCCGCTGCCTCCAAAAGCTGAAGCCCCTCTGGGGGGAAAAGGAAGGAGGAGAGAGGGGAAGGACGGTGGGGCCGCTAGAAAACTTGAGCTCTGCAGACATCCGACTCTCCCCCTCCCCCTCGCCCTGCCCTCCTCCTCTTCCTCCTCCTCCTCCTCCTCCTCCTCCTCCTCCTCCTCCTTCCTCCTCCTCCTCCTCCTCCTCCTCCTCCTCCTCCTCCTCCTCCTCCTCCTCCTCCTCCCCCTCTTCCTCTTCCTCCTCCTCCTCCTCCTCCTCCTCCTCCTCCTCCTTCCTCCTCCTCCTCCTCCTCCTCCTCCTCCTCCTCCTCCTCCTCCTCCTCCTCCTCCTCCCCCTCTTCCTCTTCCTCCTCCTCCTCCTCCTCCTCCTCCTCCGACGGCAATCCTTGCTCGTGGCGCGGGTCCTCAGAGCTCCCGCGGCCCCTTCCCCGGGGCCCCGCTCCTCGTCCCGGATCTCTCTCCCCTCGAGGGCTCCGGGAGTCCGGAGCGGGCCCCGGGCCGCTTCGGCTACGATCGGGAGCGGCCAAGAGGGGGGTGTCCAAGAGGGGGGGGTGCAAATCATGACCGGCGGCATGTGCGCGGCCCAGCGGGGGGGCCAGGGACGTAATGAAATAATAAGAGGCGCCATAAAGTCTGGGGAAATATCATGGCCCCCGCCATGATATCCCCCCCCCCTAGTCATCACCCCCCTCTTTTCCGCCCCCGATACGAAGGGCCCAAGAACAGCGTGGACGGGCTTTCCCTCCTGAGTTGTTCTTGGACGGTCTCGGGTGCATGTGCGTGGCCCAGGGGTGGGGCCGAGAGCGTATTGAAGAAGAGGCGCCATGAAATCTGGGGAGGTATCATGGCCCCCGCCATGATATCCAACACCCCCTAGTCATCACCCCCCTCTTGGCCACCCCCGAAGGCGACGCGGCCTTCTCAGAGCGCTCCGGAACGAACGCTCTGATGAGCATCGTTTAACCGATCCAGCTTGGACTGGGCCCCACTGGCCGATTTGCCCCCCTGAAAAGGGGATACAGGGTGCTCTCTCCGGGCTTCGAGGGGCATACCCCCAGCTGAGTTGGCGAGACGGTGGGGCTGGGCTCGAGATGTTTTTTTTTTTGTTAGCGGCAAGGCTCGAAAAAGGTGGGCCGGGTAAACGTGACCACAAACAAGGAGGAGGAGGAGGAGGAGGAGGAGGAGGAGGAAGAGGAGGCAAGGAGGAGGCAAGGAGGAGGAGGAGGAGGAGGCAAGGAGGAGGAGGCAAGGAGGAGGAGGAGGAGGAGGCAAGGAGGAGGCTGGGCTCGAGATGTGGATGGGGATGAGGACGGGCATCGGTCAAGCGATACTGATCTGAGAGCGTTCCGGAACGCTCTGGGATGGCGCATGCTCGCCCTGGCCCCGCCCGAGCTGGGGAGGAGGGAGGAGGGAGGAGGGGGGAGGAGGGAGGGAGGAGGAGGGAGGAGGGAGGAGGGAGGAGGGCCCGTGCGCCACCCCGCGGGCCCTGGCGCCGCCTTCGGCATCTCCGGGCTGGCGGCCCGGATCTCCTCCCGCAGCCGCTGCAGGGCCTGCTGCGCGGCGCCCGCCGCGGAGGGCCGCGGCGGCCCCGCCTCCTCCACACTCGGCGGCGGCTGCGGCTCGGGCGGCTGGTGCTCGGCGGCCTCTGGGCTGCACGCGAGAGCGACCCTGGGCAATGGACGCCCGAAATGGGTACCGAAAAAATGGGCACAATGCCCAACAGCAAATGTTGTCCCAAACCAACAGCGGCCGCTGTTGGGCAGGCGGCCCTCTGTCTCAAATGGACACAGGCCGCGGCGGCGTGGACAGCGAATCCTGTCCAAATTGAACAGGAACTGCTGTTGGGCATTGTACCCATTCTTTCAATACCCATTTCGGGCGTCCAGAGGCAAGAGTGACCCTTGGTGCTCGGCTTTCTGGGGGCCGCGAGGGGGCCAAGCACAGGCGCGCAGGACGCCATCGCCGCCTCGCGCTCGGCGATCGGGGGGCCCCAGTGGGCCCGCACCAGAGGTCTCCCCGGCGAACGGTCACCCTTCGAGACGTGTAGGCGAGCCTCCCGCGGGGGGTCCAGCAGGTCCTGCGGCCCGGGCACCTCGGATCAGAGGATCACACAAGCTTGTTGTGTTCACTACTCGCAATAGCTCTCGCGCCTGGCCCCGCTCTCCCCCCGTCCCCCCTCCCCCCCTGGCCACGTCACAATTCGCGCCGGCGCTTGTCTGGGGATGAGCTGTCCTCCCTCTAAGAGTTCCTGGACGGCGCCCCTTCCCCCCCCCGGGTCACGCCCGTTACCGCCAGGGCCGCCAGAGGATCAAAACAACAACTATCTCTGGGGGAGGGTCCTACTGGAACGTCCAGCTTGTTTTCCGTATGCATCATGTGAGACTGTGGGGGGGCAGCCCGAAAGAGCGAAGAACGCGTTGTGCTTCTGAGATCGCCAGTCAAGCTGCTCAGGCTTGTCTGGCCAGTCTGGCGGTTCTGGCCGGCTGTCGCCGCCTCTGGCCACCATTGGCGCACTCCTGGAGAAAAACTGGGAGGCGAAACGGCCCGCATTGTTCAGCAGCGCGTATTCGATGGAGACGCTGCTGCACACTCGCGAGTACCAACCGCGAGGCGCCTAACTGTCCTCGACACACTCTAGTCGACCAGTGGGCCGCGACAAGAACCCTGGCCTCAATTCAGGCCCCCCCCTCTCCACTGCGATCCGACGTTGAAGCAAAATTGCAACATCGCAAAAAATCACGACCAAAGCCCCAGACCCCATCTGTGTCATTTTTCGAGCCGGACCGATATGTGAGGGTCCCGGGGCCCGAAACTGAGCGAAAGAGCCCGTGGTGGAAAAATTGCAACGCCAGGATCTCAGGGTCTGAGCACAGTGAACCTCCAGCTCGAGCAGCTCGCAGTTCCCCATCCAGTACTCCGCAAAGCGGCCCTCCCGCCTCGCGAAGTGCCGCCCGAGCAGCGTGTGAAAGAAGTCCTAAGGGGCCCGGGGACACACAAATAAATACATTCAAGCCCCAAGATTCATTCCCCATATGTTCTCATGTTTTCTAAGCTTCGTCTTCCCCCCCCACTTCCCATATTTCCCCAGACTTTCCTGAGGGTCGACGAGTCATTGTGTCTGTGTGTTCTTCCCCCTCTGGAGTCCGCGTGGCCGAACACGGCGATCCGCGCCTCAGGCCGGCCCGCGAGCCACGCCGCGAAGGCGTCCACGCGCCGCTCGAAGGCGGCGCGCGGCTCCCGCCGCCCCTGCTGGTCGGGCGGGCGGTGGTGCGGGGTACAGTCGGGCTGCCGAACTAAGGGACGCTAGAAATAAGGAACAAAGCCCCTCTGTGGCTTCAGAAGAGCCTGGGTGCACGAGAAGGGCTAGAGGAACAACCACGGAAGGACGCAAGGAACATCGAGCCCCTTCCGAATCCAAGCTGTTCCTTATTTCGGCGTCTTGGCTGTACCCAGACACCCTCGAAGTCATGAAAAAAACACGACGCGAAATTGTTCGGCACTTTCGGCCTCTGGAGGCCCTGACCAGGCCATGGGACCGTCGAAGAACGACCCGGGATGAAAGTCCGGTCCCGGGGAGTGGGTCGAGACCCCTGAGGAGTCGATGTCATGAGAAAGTCGTGACGTCGGGGGTCTGGGTAACCTGAATGGGGGGGGGAGAGAAGGGGCCTGAAGGGAACCTTATCGGGCCCTGTTCTTCCCCCCCCCACTTCTTGCCATCGCTCGGACGTCCATTCCCCGTGCCTTTTGTTCGATCTCGTGCGTGCTCTCTTTGCCAACACGATCCAGGATACTCCTCGATGGCCCTCGCCGAGATAAAATGCACACGCCCGATGGATGCCAAGACGTCGGTCACCCCCAGATCGCCACCCGCCCGAGCTGGGCGAAGAGCGCGCGCGAGCCCTCCGGGGTGAGGCCCTCGCGGCTGCAGTCCGGCGGGACGTACCACCACACCTCCCCGGCCAGCCATGGCCAGTGGGAGCTGTGCTCGAAGGGGCCCAGGGGCACACAAACAGACAGGCACAGATCCCCCAGGATTCCCCAGATCTTCCATACTCTCTGGAGGTTCGTCTTCCCTTCCAACTTCCATATCTTATAATCCTTCGAGAGATCGGCAATTCTTTGTGTCTGTGTCTGTTTCTCCCTCTGGAATGCCCCTCCACCCCTTGCGCTGCATCTTCGGGGGGCCCTATTTGCCCCGGCGCGCCCCTCTCCGCGTCGACTCCGTGTCGGATCCATGTCACGCTCGTCGGATCCGCGTCGAGTCCACGTCGAATCCAAGCCAAATCCGCGTGGAGTCCGCATCGAGCCCGCGCTGGGCACAAGAAAAACACCAATTTGGAGTGGGATAGACCCAGAGATCCGATGTTGTGATCTTTCAATGCGGGGTCCCTGGAAGTCTCGACCCAATCCCCAGGGCCGGTTTTTCATCCTGAGTCGTTTTTTGACGGTCCCTGGGCTCGGCGAGGGCCCCTCGAGGCCAAAAACTACGAAAACCTTACGTCTTGATTGTTTCAATGCGTTGCATCTCTGGGGACGAGGTCCCCCCCCCCCCCCCCGAAGGTGCAGCGTTACTCGAGCCCACCGCGCCGGCGACCCCTCGAGGAGAGGTGCCGGGGCCGGTAGGCCCCTCCCATCTGGGGGGGAGGGCGGGGCCACGGCTCCCCCCTCTGGTTGTGGCCGGTCTGCCTCCGGGAGGTCCTCCGCGGGCGAGATCGGGGATGGACAGAACCCCATTTGGTACTCCAGAGTTCGTAATAAAAGGGAGGGGGTCTGGACCCTCCAAGACAAGCCATTTCAGACCTCCCCCGTGGGAGAACCCTCCAAAACATCGTCCCCAGACGCCCCCCCAGGCCCTCCAAGATAGCCTGGAAGAGACCCCCCCCCGAAATGAGACCCCCCTCCCTTTATTACGAAATCTGGGGTACTCTCTTACTCTTCGTGAAGATTCCTCCTGTAGAGGGGCAGTGCCCGACTTGACGAGAACGGGGACCACGCGGGCTCGGAGCCCCTCTGAGGACCCTGACCTCGCCGAATCACCGCGTTCTCCTCCTCCTCCTCCTCCTCCTCCTCCTCCTCCTCCTCCTCTTCCCCCTCCTCCTCCTCCTCCTCCTCCTCCTCCTCCTCCTCCTCCTCCTCCTCCTCCTGCAAGGGCAACATGCCCGCGGTGATTTTCTGGAGCACGGCGCCAGCCCCGCGCGAGAGGGCCGCCGCGGCGTCCGTCCTCGCCTGGCGTGCCGCCGCCCCGCGAGAAGGAGCCCTTCGATCAGGAATCCAGGGTCTGGAGGCTGGTGGAACTCCAATTGAGGCTTGGCCCCCTGTTTTTTTTGTTTTTGTTTTTGTTTTTTGTTATTTCTCTGCAAGGGCAACATGCCCGCGGTAATTCTGGAGCACGGCGCTGGCCCTGCGCCGAGGGCCGCCGCGGCGTCCGTTCTCGCCTGGCGCGCCGCCGCCCCGCGAGAAGGAGCCCTTCGATCAGGAATCCAGGGTCTGGCAAACGACGGCCGCGGCGCCCTCCCTCGGGTCGGGCGAAAGGAGGAGGAGGAGGAGGAGGAGGAGGAGGAGGAGGAGGAGGAGGAGGAGGCGGCGGACGGGTCGCCTAAGCCCTTCGGAGAAACCCTCCAGGCCCGGGGGCACACAAAGAAATACATTCAAGCCCCAGGATTCTCCCCATATGTGCTCACGTTTTCTAGGCTTCTCGGGCTGGGCTAAAGGGGGGGATAGCAAAGGGGGGGTTTGAGAATCAGCTCGCGTAGCTGATTTCCCCGGCGCCTCCCGGCGCCGGAGGCGGTTATGTATCGAGGAATGGGCCCCTCGGTGAGGCCGAAACCAGCTGCATGCAGCAAATTTCGTAACCCCCCCTTTCCCAATCCCCCCCCTTCGCCCGGCCCGACTCTCGAGAACCGGAAACGGACAAATTCACCAATCGACGTGTCAGGGTGGGGGTTCTGTCCACCCCCGGCGAGAAGCACACGGGGAGCAAGCAACGGCATAGGCACAAGTCGGCTGCACGCGAGAGTGGCCTTGGGCAAGAGTGACCCTTAGATAAGGAATCCAGGGTCTGGAGGCTGGTGGAACTCCAATTGAGGCTTGGCCATGGACATCGCCGCCGCCCTCATCAAAGAAGGAATCCTCCAGGGTCTGCAGCCTCCTGGGCACATTCTTTAACTAACGCCCCCACCGTATTACACCAGAGACAAGCCCAATCAATGGATGGCTTGAAGTGGGATCGATAACGAGATCGATCAAGAGATCGACCAATCGGGCTGGACGAAAGGGGGGGATTGGGAAAAGAGGGGTTACGAAATTCGCTGCATGCAGCTGGTTTCGGCCTCACCGAGGGGCCCATTCCTCGATACATAGCTCCATCCGGCGCCGGGAGGCGCCGGGGAAATCAGCTACGCGAGCTGATTCTCAACCCCCCCCTTTGCTATCCCCCCCTTTCGCCCGACCCGAACCAAGGGTCCGGGAACCCGGAACCCACCGAAATCGGACTGGAACCGCGGTGACCAGGAACCCGGGAACCCAGAACGGGGAACCTGGCAACCCAGCCGGCCACTATAATCGGCGGGACACTTTCGCCAAGTCTTTCAATTTCCACTAGGACCCCTTCAGTGCAAGCACTGATTGGGGAACAACGTGGTTTAGTGAAAACGACCTCGGGCTCAAACCTGGCGGGCGCAAACCTGGAAAACGACGGCCGCGGCGCCCTCCCGAGAACCGAAAACGGACAATTCACCAATCGACGTGTCAGGGTGGGGGTTCTGTCCACCCCCGGCGAGAAGCACACGGGGAGCAAGCAACGGCATAGACACAAGTCGGCTGCACGCGAGAGTGGCCTTGGGCAAGCGTGACCTCTGGTGTGCGGCTTCACGGGAGAAACGGGGGGGCCAAACCCGAGCGCGCAAGACGCTGCTATCGCATCGCGTTCGGCGCTCGGGGGACCCCATTGGGCCCGCGCCAAAGGTCACTGCAGCGAAAGGTCACTCTTATGTCTACTCGAATGAAGACTCGGAGGTGCGCACGGATTTCTCGGATCGGCGCTGGACCCCCCTCCCTGGCGCGCGGAGCGCGCCAGGGGCGGCGCCAGAGGCGCCGCCAGGGGGCTCCAGCACCGATCCGAGGAATCCGCGCGGACCTCCGAGTTCTCGTGTCTACAATCGAAATCCACAGGAAGGGCGGGCGGTAAGGACGCAAGGGCCTTCGACGCCGAAGTTGGCACTTCTTGCGCGGCGGACTGCCAACACCCTAAAAAAGGCTGGCCAATGAACACCGCGAAGGACGCGCTGCAGAGGCAAGGACGCAGGGATACCCTAAGGACGTCCGTGAGTCCTTACTATGAGTTTTGACTGTATGCCATTGCTTGTTTCATGGAACCGTATCCACATCCCCGGCCCCGCGGTCCCCTAGTAGACAACAAATATATACTGGTAGTGTCTATCTTTGGTGCGCGCCTGCTATGGCGAAACCGCAACGCATCTGAGTCGGAGCGCGCGAAACGCGAGTCTAATTTTATGTTGTTTTGATCCGCAATTCGTGTGACACGAGGGGTCGCGGACGAGGAGTCCAGATCTGGACTCCTCGACCGCGACCCCTCGTGGATGCAGGGCGGCTCTGGCGCGGGTGCCCCGCGCGAGAGCCGCCCTCCTCCTCCTCCTCCTCCTGCTCCTGCTCCTCCTGCTCCTCCTGCTCCTCCTGCTCCTCCTGCTCCTGCTCCTGCTCCTGCTCCTGCTCCTGCTCCTCCTCCTCCTCCTCCTCCTCGTCCGCGACCCCTCGTGGATACAGGGCGGCTCTCGCGCGGGTGCCCCGCGCGGAGCGCATCCGTCGGATCGCGCATCCGAGAGATCACGCCCGGGCGTCCCGAACGCGAGGGCATGGACTTGCGCGCGGCCTCCTCCTCCTCCTCCTCCTCCTCCTCCTCCTCCTCTCCTCCTCCTCCTCCTCCTCCTCCTCCTCCCCTTCCTCCCCTTCCTCCCCTTCCTCCCCTTCGTCCCCTTCCTCCCCAGTTCTCCTCTTCCTTCCCTTCCTTCCCATCCTCCCCAGATCTCTGGTGGGGTGCTCCTTCAGTCTATGGGGAATTCCGCAGACCCCCGTTTGCCGAGGCTTCGGATCGGGGGGCCCCCTACAGGCGGATTTTGGATGAAAAATTAAGAAGACCTCCCAAAAGCATTCAAAAAGTAGTCAAACAATAACAGAATCGTCCCCGGACTATTTTTGACTATTTTGGAGTACTCCTCCTGTGGAGGGGCACGCCCGACTGAAGCCGAAGGTGAAGCAGCGCGTGAGGGCCCCGCTGCCTTCCCCCCCCCCTTCCCAAGTGTCCCAAGGGGCCTTCCCCCCCCCCTTCCCCTCCCCTGGGCCAGGGGAAAGGCAGGGCCCCTCCCCTGCCTTCCCCTCCCCAGGGGTCCCCAGGGGCCTTCCCCCCCCCCCTCCCCTGGGCCAGGGGAAAGGCAGGGCCCCTCCCCTGCCTTTCCCCAGGGGCCTTCCCCCCCCCCTCCCCCTCCCCTGGGCCAGAAAACAGGCGGCACCACCCCGCCCGCGGCACCGGGGGCCTTGGCGTATACCAAGAAAGCTGGCGTGGGCTTTTTTTGGCGTGGTGCGCGCTGCGGCGCCCGATGGGCCGCAGCGCAGCATGGAGGGCCGTAGGTGGGGTGGTGTCGCTTGCTTTTCGGTCGATTGCGTACTCCCCCCCCCGTCCGAGAGGGGAAGCCGCCAGCGAGACTCCAGATCCACCGTCCGACGGCACAAAGATGCCCAAGATGCCCAAGATGCCATTCAAGACCGCTCTGGGGAGGCTCCAGCACGCCCAACAGGCCCCAAGACTAACTCGAGAGGCCCTGGGAGACCGCATGAAGGCTGAAAGAGGTCCCAAGAGAGAGCCCAGACACCCAAGGCATCAAAACCCAACGGCTATTCGATGCTGTTTTGCTGTCTCGCCTTATCGCGCCCAGACGCCCCCGAGAGGGCCCAGGAATCCTCAGTGGGGCCACGAAACAGTCCAAGCTGCCCCCCAGACGGCCGCAGCATCGCCCCACATGGACTCAGACGCACCCGGCTGGCTTCTCCTGAAATGGGTCCGAGACGGCCCAAGACTGACCCAAGACGGCCCCGTGACTCCCCCATACGTGGCCCCAAGACCTTTCAGAACAAACCCCGCGACGCTTGAAGGGACGCCACGTTGGCCCCGAGAGAGCCGCAAGCAAGAGGGCCCCAAGGACTCCACGCAGGGCCCCGTGGAGGCCACGAGACATGCCCGCGCTCGGTCCCGCACGGTTCCATCTTGCCCAAGAGGGGGAAGAGGAGGAGGAGGAGGAGGAGGAGGAGGAGGAGGAGGAGGAGGAGGAGGAGAGGAGGAGGAGGAGGAGGAGGAGAGAGGAGGAGGAGGAGGAGGATGGAGGAGGAGGAGGAGGAGGAGGAGGAGGAGGAGGAGGAGGAGGAGGAGGAGGAGGAGGGAGGAGGAGGGAGGAGAGAGGGAGGAGGAGAGAGGAGGAGGAGGAGGAGGAGGAGGAGGAGGAGGAGGAGGAGGAGGAGGAGGAGGAGGAGGAGGAGGAGGAGGAGGAGGAGGAGGAGAACCCCTCGGCGGCGCGAGCGTCTCTCAACTCTCGCGGCCGCCAGGGCGGCGCTCGCGGTGCGCCGACGCGACCTGCAGGACCAAACACAGCCGGCATTCACTCACTGAGAGAGCTGCGCGCCGATTGGCCCCCTGAGGCCCTGCCGCTAATTTCCGCTTTGGCGGGCTCGCCGACTGCTCCTGCCGAGGGCACTGCTGGCGTGGGCTGCCCAGGCTGGCCATACGAGGCTCATGCTCACACCGCCCCTCGCCGCTCGTACTCCACCTACGGCGGCCCTCCTTCTTTTCATCCTCCTCATCCTTCTCCTGAGCCTTCTCCTCACCTCCCCACGTCATCCCCCATTTTCCTGCACCGCTCAAGCAAGGCCCAACACACAACAGCATCCACCCGAACAAAGTCCCCCAAGAGGTTCGCGCAGAGGGTCCAGTACTGAAGGTTCACATGCACTTCCCAACATCCTGCACACTCTGCCCACCACCTTGCCTCCCTGACCTTCCTGGGCATCGCAAAACTCTTGGGCGCCCTCCTGCGCTCTACCGTAATTACTCAGGCAGGCCGTGCAGCCAAAAGTACGCTGGGCACGTTCATCCGTCGGTCGTCAGCGGAATGGAGCACAGTAGGAGCTCGACCACAAGAAATCTTCCACAAGAAACCCAACCCTGGAACCCCAGGACGTCCCTTGATTTTTGGTGTGGAAACGCCACGTAGTCCATAGCAAAACCATCGAAACCCAAGAAACCCAGGGCACCTTAGAGGCAAGCACGGTGATTCTTGGCATTAGAAGAAGGAAAAGCGCCATACACAGAAACTTTTGGCGCTCCGTGCAGATTTCTTGGATCTGCGCTGGACCACCCCCGGGCGGCGCCTCCGGCGCCGCCCCATTCCGAAAACCCTGGACCAAAAAACGTTCTCATCTCTAGGGGGCGCATCTCTGCCGCCTTCCGCCGAGCTCCCGCCGGCTTCCGCTTGCAGAGGAGGCCTCGTTGTACTTCCGCCGACCTTCCGCCGTCCTTCCGTCGCCTTCCGCCGCGGAAGAGATGACAACTCCTTCGGTCTTCGAAGGCAAGGCCCCCTTTGGAACGCCCCATATGTCGCCGCGCCGTTGATCCTCGACACACCAAAGCGGACGACGCCGACACCACAGAACCCCCACGGCAAGCCCTGCGTCCCGCGTCCCAAGGGGACGCAGCTGGCGCCGCGGCAGACCCACAGCAAACCCACCGCGCCCGAGGCGGTGTTTGCCCTGGTGCCCGCGGCACCCTCCCCGAGACGCAAGGCCGCGCGTCGGAAGAAACGGCGCGGCGAAATTTGCAAACCCTTGGCGTTGCAGCCTGGATTCCTCGACGGCGACTCTACGTGGATAAAGGGCGGCTCCGAGCGCATCCATGGTATCGCGCATCCGTGGGATCGCGCCCGGGTGACCAGAACGCGAGGGCATGGATATGCGCGTGGGAATGAGATCCTCGCCTCCAGCGATGTTCGCAGAAGCGAGAGCGTTAGGTCGGGCATGTCCTCCTACGGGCGGATTCTGGAAGACAGACAAAGCATATCCAAACAAAAAGCAAAACAACAATAGCAACACAAAGCACGACCAATCGCCACCAGACTACTCCAGATTTCGTAATAAAAGGGAGGGGGTCTGGACCCTCCAAGACAAGCCATTTCAGACCTCCCCCGTGGGAGAGCCCTCCAAAACATCGTCCCCAGACCCCCCCAGGCCCTCCAAGATAGCCTGGAAGAGACCCCCCCCGAAATGAGACCCCCCTCCCTTTATTACGAAATCTGGTTACTCTTCGTGAAGATTCCTCCTGTAGAGGGGCAGTGCCCGACTTGACGAGAACGGGGACCACGCGGGCTCGGAGCCCCTCTGAGGACCCTGACCTCGCCGAAATCACCGCGTTCTCCTCCTCCTCCTCCTCCTCCTCCTCCTCCTCCTCCACCTCCTCCTCCTCCTCCTCCTCCTCCTCCTCCTCCTCCTCCTCCTCCCTCCCCCTCCTCTGGGGTGTCCCTGTGTCCCTCGACGGTGCCTATGGAGAGGCAGGCCTGCGGAGCCCTGGACGGCAGGAGACGGGCGTGCCCGGTGCGAGGGCCCCCCCCTGGCGCAGGGGTCGCCCGTTGGGCGGAAATCGGCCCAAATTCTGGCCAGCTCTCGCAGGCCTACTCTGTAAGAACGGTTTTTTGAAGGCAGATCTGCCTTCAAAAAACCGTTCTTACAGAGTAGACCACTATTTTTTGAAGGCAGATCTGCCTTCAAAAAACCGTTCTTACAGAGTAGACCACTATTTTTTGAAGGCAGATCTGCCTTCAAAAAACCGTTCTTACAGAGTAGACCAGTCTTTCCTCCTATTTTTTGAAGGCAGATCTGCCTTCAAAAAACCGTGCTTACGAAGTTGTCACCAACACCAATATCGGCGGCGTGCCTCCACCGAGGGAAAAAGATCCCGATCTCGGTGATGGTGGTCATATTCTGGCTTCCAAGGTGACCGAAAGATTACCACCAGCACCGAAATCTAGGATCATCTTCCCCCTGTGGAGGCACCCCCCTGTGTTGCCCTGCAGGCCTCCAAAGCTCCTGTGTTGCCGACTCTAGAAACCCTGAACCCAAAAATGTCGACATCTCTAAGACGCCCCAAGGAGGTGCCAAAAGGACCTCTAGGAAGCCAAAATCAGCGATCCCCCACCCTGCTGTTTCATTCGTTTTCGTGTTGCCGCTTTTTTTCTGGCTTCCGAAAGCCGAAGACGGCCCTAGAAGCCTCCAGGATAGCCCCATAACGGCCCCAAAGGCCCCAGGCCGGCCACAACAACGGAACAAAAAGGCTCCCAAACGGCCTCCGAGACGGCTCCGAGAGGACCATTTGCTGCCGCATTCTGCAGTGTGCAGCGCGTTTTGTTTTTGAACCCCCTACTGCACACGGTGTGTTGAAGCCCCGACTGTGCTGGAGGGGACGGCAGCGGTGACAATGACCAAAACTGTAAGCAGAAACGTCGTACCGATCTTGGTCAACGTCGATCTTGGTCAGCGTCAACTTGTGGATCATCCTCGCGCATCGGCGACGGCCGACCTGGACCATGACCAAGATCGGCATCGATCAAATCCCACGACATCTTGGTTATGGTTCGCGTGGTTCTTGCCTCGATGAGCCGCATCTCCTCAGTTTCCGAGGGCGCCCCCCTAAGATTGTCATCGCGCATTGGCTTGCCAATCCTAGGGAAAGGGATGCCCTCGAGGCTGATTAAGTACACTTGGGAGACAAAGAGAAAGGGGCCTTACGCGAGATGACTCCTTTCCCTCGATAGTCCCCGTGACTCTTTCATGTGAACCGCATCTCTCCTCTCCGCCTCCGGTCCCTCTGTGAACGATGTCGCATACATGAGATGTCCTGATTTGTTCCATGCGCGGTCCCCAGACATCCCGACCCTTTCCCCCAGGGCTGGCTTGTCATCGTGCGCCGTTTGTTTACGGTCCCGAGGCCCGGCGAGGGCCTATAGGGGCCGAAATTGGCCAAAACCCCCCCGCCCCGATTTCTCCCTTACGGCGCGAGCACGCCTGGATGAGGCGCGCACCTCCCGTGCGCACGTTCGGAGCCCGGAGGTGGCTCAAGTTGGCCACTTGTTGGGGCCCCGCCCCTGCGACCCTCGATCTCTCCCCCCCCTTTACGGTGGGGTCTGGGAACCCCAACCGTGGAGTGGCCAGGGATCTCACCGCCGCCCTCGTCGATTAAGGACCCCCCCGGGGTCTGAAGCCTCCTAGGCACACTCTTTCACCAAGGCCCCCACGGTATCCACCCCCGGCGGTTCTCGAGGGAGGGCGCAAAGAGAAGCACCGCTGCCGCTGCTCCTCGGCCCTCTCCCAGGGGGGTGCCTCCCAAAGGGCCCCAGCAGACGAAAACGAGGCAAGGGTAGCGTTAGGTCGGGCATGTCCCCCTACAGGCGGATTTTGGGCGAACAAATACGTCAAATAATGTTGTAACAACTATTTCTTGACAATTTTGACTTCCTCCTGTAGAGGGACATGCCCGACTTCAGGGTAGCGGCATCGGTGCGTTTCCCTCCTCTCAAAGGAGGAGATTGTCGTCCTCGGGAGATGTCAATCCACCGACATGGTCGCAAAGAGTTCCACCGCGTCGGGCGATTCCCGTGAGAAGTGACGCCAGCGGCCCCAGGCAACCCTGGCGCCCTGCCACCGCGATCGGGGCACCCGCAAGCCGCGCGCGCGCGGCACACGCCTGGCCCCGTCGCCCTGTCCACAGCAAGCCATCAAACCGCATCGGCGCATGGATTCGCCCTATCTGAGGAGACGGACCTCCATGCACCGACGTGGTCGGCCAATAGATCGGCACAGTAAACCTCCCTTTAGTGAAAACGGCCTGGAACCGAAACCGACGGACCTGTACCCGCAAAAATGACGGCCGCGACGCCCTCTCGCGAACCGAAAACGGCGCGAAAGCAGCGACCACGACCACCCCGCCCTGGGGGGTGCGCGCGAGTACTGATGCTCTCCGCGCCCTTTCGCAAGGAAGTTGCTCCTCTTGGGGCCCGACCAACGTCGGAAAAGCCGTGCCAGTGTTATGTCGGGCGTGTCCCCCTACAGGCCGATTTTGGGCGAAAAATTAAACATGCACAACAATGACCCTAACAATGCTCAAAAATTGTCAAAAGATAATCCCCAGACTATGTTTTGACTATTTTGGACTATTCCCCCTGTAGAGGGACACGCCCGACTTCATGCCAGCGCATGGATGTACTCCCCCGCCTTGGAACTCCGCGACGCCCGTCGGGAGCGGCCAAGAGGGGGGCGTCCAAGAGGGGGGGTGCAAATCATGACCGGCGGCACGTGCGCGGCCCAGCGGGGGGGCCAGGGACGTAATGAATTAAGAAGAGGCGCCATAAAATCTGAGGAAATATCATGGCCCACGCTCCGTAGCCATTTTGGCTCAAGCTGCGGCGCGCCTTGTATTAGGTTCGATTTGTTTTGATCTTCGGCTGCTTCCATGGCCGGGGAACTCATTGTTCGCCTCCATGGCCAGGCTCTGCGCATGATCTGCGACACCACGGGTCGCGACTTCGCTGGCCTTGGTGTGGCCGCACGCACGCTCTTCAAAGACAAGTCCCAGCTGTCGTTGCGGCGGAGGCTCGAGCACGTCGACACCAACTTCGCCCTCGTTCGGCACATCAACCGTGTCAAATCAGAGTTCCTCCTGACTGAGCTCGCCAATACGCTGGGCCAGTCTGGTGGCGTCGTCTCGCCGAACCTGCAGGAGGAGAACCAGCCTCGCGATGGTACTGATCCCCATCATCGGCTTCAACTTCCTGCAGGTTCTACTCGCGATCTGAATGTTCCACATGGCGCTGATGGTGCTGTTTCCGCCGAGCGACTCGTGGACGTTCATTGTGACCTTCCTCCCGAACCGCGTGAAGCAGTTCGTGCGGGTCCACGTGATGACGACTCGCCTCCAGTTCCTGATGCTGCTGAGCGTGTCGTGGATGTCCCCGTTGACTTTCCTCACGAATCGCGTGAAGCTGTTCGTGCTGGTCGACTTGACGACGGCTTGCCTCCAGTTCGTCATGCCTCTGCTGAGCGACTCGTGGATGTTCGCGGCGTCCTCTCTGCCGAATTGCGTGAAGCTGTTCGTGCTGGTCGACTCGGCGATGTTTCGCTTCAGGCCGAATATCCCTCGGAGCCAGATCGTGATGCGCCTGGCGATGCCTTTCCGGATGGCGACGGCACCGCCAATGCGATGTCCACGTTCAGCGTGTCCGCCGCTGGCTCCCTGCACAAGGTGGTGATCTACAAGCCGTGCCTCTGCGCGGCCACTACTCCAGAGGATGTTTTTCCTCCTGCTGTCGAATCTCCGGGTGTTCCTTATTGAGCTCCTCGCTGTCGTGCGTGCGCTCTGTTACGGAGCTCATCCAGCACGAAGCGGGCAATGGCGTGCCGATATTGTAGGCAGAGTGCCTACTGGGACTCCTGAGAGCTTCCTCTTCCCCCCCCTCCGTCTGCTTTTGTCTGGCTGGGTGGGGGAGGGTTGATGAGAGGATTAGGTTGGATGGCTGCTACGCTTGCTATCGATCTCTGTGATAAATTCGTGAATGGGAGTTTTCCCCTTCTCTCGAATGTTGTTCTCTTGAGCCCTCTTCCCGTCTTTCCCTCACACCTGTCTGTGCTCACCGATTGGGTGGGGGAGACATGCAGTGGCAGGGAGGAGGTGAGCAGTTGGAGGTTTGAAGTGTTCACTTTAAACGTTGTTTAAGCGTCCTGTGTTGACGACTCCGTCCCTGGACGTTTTTGAATGGTGCACTGCTCGAGGCCCTCGAGGTTTCGTGTCCCTTGTTTCTTCGGTCGGGTCCCTTCGCTCGTCCTGTGTCTGGGTTCCTGGGTCCGTCCCTCGTTCCCCTTTTCGGTCCTTTTCGGGCCCCTCGCTCGTTGTCGTCGACTTCGGGCAGGAGTGATTGACAGACGATCACCCGCGAGCAAATCAAAAATGATGGCCCATTCCATGATATCCACCCCCCCTAGTCATCACCCCCCTCTTTTCCGCCCCGGAGCCCTCGTGGGTCCTGCAGGGGCAGCTCCGGGAACGCGCGCCGGAGCTCCGAGCCGGGGCGCCCGATGTCGCAGGAGGCCTCCAGATGCTCCGCGGCCTCCGGCACCACCAGGTACCGCGCGGCCGCCCCAGAGCACGCCGGCATCGCCAGCATGCACGTCTCCTCGGAGGAGAAGAAGCCCAGAGATCCGACGTCGCGTTTTTTTCCAGTGCGGGGCCCCCGGACTTCTCGACCTCTTCCCCAGGACCGGTCTTTCATCCCGAGTCGTTCTTGGACAGTCCTGGGGCCCGGCGAGGGCCCCTACAGAGGCCGAAAGTCGCGAAACATCTCCGTCTTGACTTTTTCCATGCGTTGGATTGCTGGGAGCACCGGTGCCGCTGCCCTTGGCCCCTAGAGGCCGAAAATCGCGAAACACCGCCGTCTTGATTTCTTCAGTGCGTTGGATTGCTGGGAGCACCGGTGCCGCTGCCCTAGCTTAAGTCGCTTTCTTGGAGGCTCTGGTCGCCGCGGCTGGGTTCGCCTCGGACTGCTGGTCAGGGCGCTCCCCAGGAGACGTGCGGGAAGCAGCGGCGTGGGTGTACCGGTTGGTTTCTGGGAGGCCTGGAAATGAGCACCAACGCCAACACAAGGGACCCAGAGATCCAACGCATTGAAAGAATCAAGACGTAAGTTTCTCGTATTTTTCGGCCTCGAGGGGCCCTCGCCAGGCCCCGGGACCGCCACGAAACGACTCAGGATGAAGAACCGGTCCTGGGGAATGGGGCGAGACTTCCAGGGGCCCGCATTGAAACATGATCGACCCACGAACCCGGAAAGGATTGTAGAACTGTAACACATGGCAGCGTTTTCAAAGACACCTGATTGGGTGACGGGCAAATGCAATACTGAAGGTATCGATCTTGATGTACCCTGCCGAGGGCTGTGCTGTGCTGCGCCGTGCTGAATTGCGATGTGCCATGGCGCGACTGTGCTCTATAGCCTCGTGGATCGAGTCCTCCTTTGCATCCGAGTCCTGACCGAACTGATCTGGATCTTAAGCTCGAGCTGCCTGAACACATAGTAGCTGCCCCAGAGCTAATGGACAGGGGAACATGCCAGGAGGACGCGCCGCGAAACGTCCCAAGGGATGCGCCAGGCGACGTGCCAGGGGACGTGCCATGGGGTCGCACCGCGGGACGTGCCAAGGGGACGCGCTACGGAACGTGCCAATGGATGTGCCACGGGATGTGCCAGGGGACGCGCCACGCGACGTGCCAGGGGGACTCGCCAAAGGACGCCCCACGGAACGTGCCAAGGAACGTGCCAAGTTGCAATGCTGAGTGTATCGACCTTGATGTACCGTGCCGAAATCAGTGCTGTGCTGCGCCGTGCTGAATTGCGATGTGCCATGGCGCGATTGTGCTCTATAGCCTCGTGGATCGAGTCCTCCTTTGCATCCGAGTCCTGACCGAACTGATCTGGATCTTAAGCTCGAGCTGCCTGAACACATAGTAGCTGCCCCAGAGCTAATGGACAGGGGAACATGCCAGGAGGACGCGACGCGAACGTCTCAAGGGACGCGCCAAGCGACGTGCCAAGGGACGTGCCATGGGGACGCACCGCGGGACGTGCCAAGGGGACGCGCTACGGAACGTGCTGGGGACAAGCGTTTCGCTCGAGACATCCTGTCAAAATCATCTGAATTCCTACGCGCGGGACGCTGCACGCGCGAGACATCCTCGGAATTCCTGCGAGCGGGACGTGAAAACAAGCATTTCGCCTGAGACATCCTTTGAATTCTGGCCCCCCACGAGGCCACCGCTCGAGACATCCTCCAATTTTGCAAAACCAGCGTTTCGCTCGAGACATCCTCAACAAATTATGAAAAACAAGCGTTTCGCTCGAGACATCCTGTCAAAATCCCAAGAAATCCAAATACCCGCGCGCGGGACGCGGCACGCGCGAGACATCCTTGGAATTCCTATGCGAGGGGCGCTTTTCCGTGTCGCGGTCGGCTCTGCAAAACCAGCGTGTCGCTCGAGACATCCTCAACAAATTCTGAAACCAAGCGTTTCGCTCGAGACATCCCCAACTCTGCAAAACCAGCGTTTCGCTCGAGACATCCTCAACAAATTCTGAGAAACAAGCGTTTCGCTCGAGACATCCTCACAAATAATTCCGCCGGCCCTACTCCCGCACGTAATTTATCGCAGAATAATTTCGCCGGCCCTCTTCTGGTCGATTCCGGGGGGTAAACCCACTAAAAGAGAACCCTGGGCTCGAGCCCTTTCCGGGAAAAATCACAACGTCGAATCTGTGGGGAGTGCCTCCACTGGGGGAAGATGATCCTGGATGTTGGTGCTGGTGGTATTTTTTCACCCGCCTAGGAAGCCCGAGTATTGCCACTATCGCCGTGATCGGTATCCTCTTCCCTCGGTGGAGGCACACCGCCGACAGTAGTGTTGGCATCAACCTCCCCAAGACATGCGATTCCTGATTTTTTCCATTCGCGGCCCTCAGAAATCCCGACCCTTTCCTTCAGGGCCAGCTCGTCATTGAAGTGGCCCCAGGACACACAAATAAATACACACAAATAAACAGATTCCCCATATTTTCAAATATTTTCTGGGTTTCTGTCTTCCCCCCATTTCCTATATTTTCTTATATTTTCTGGGAATCGACGAGTAATTGTGTCTGTGTGTTTTTTCCCCTCCTGAGTCATCCTGAGCCGTGAGTCGACGGTCCCGAGGCCCGGCCCAGGGCCCCCACGAGCCAAACAGGGCCACAGACCTCTCTCCCCGATGTCTTCCTGACGACGCGAGCACGTCTGGCCCCAATCGGCGACTCCAAGAGGTATGGTTTGCCAAGGGTGTGGTTTGCAGCCAGCACCCCGTGGAACATCCCGGGGCGCACCCCCAGGGGGCGCGCGGGGACCTCGACAGAGTTCTCCAGCGCCCCGAGGAGGCCCGGCGATGGGGCAGTCTCGTCCCCCCCCGGGCCCCAACGGTGCCGATCGCAAACCACACCCCGGCGTAACGCATACCCCTGGCAGTCGCCGATCTAGGCCTCCGAAGTTCCCCGGCTACGTCGCCCGGGCCCCTGGAAGTCTCGACCCATTCCCAGATGGTCTGGTACCGGACATTTTCGGTAGCGATTTCGACGCACCCCGAATTTCGGTAGCGACCGGATCTTCGTTTGAGGGCGTTGAAATAGCGGATTTCAGAACGGTCTGATACCGGCATTGGGCGCTACATTTCGGTATTTCGGTAGCGACCGATCTCTGCGGAGCGCTACCGGAAATTTTCGGTAGCGGACCATCAGGGTTCCCCAGGGCCGGTCTTTCATCCCGAGTCGTCTCTTCACGGCCCCGGGGCCCGGCGAGGGCCCCTCGAGGCGGCAAAAGTAGGACAAGCCTCCGCCTGGATATCTTTGTTCACTGCCTGGGATCTCTGGGGACGCCCGAAATGGGTACCGAAAAAATGGGTACAATGCCCAACAGCAAATGTTGTCCCAAACCAACGGCGGCCGCTGTTGGGCAGGCGGTCCTCTGTCTCAAATGGACAGGCCGCGGCGGCGCGGACAGCGAATCCTGTTCAAAGTGAACAGGAACTGCTGTTGGGCATCGTACCCATTCTTTCCGTACCCATTTCGGGCGTCCAGATCTCTGGGGAACTCCCCCAGCTCCATCGCCCGGGTCAGCGGCGACGTGGCCGCGAGGTCCACGCGGCCCGCCCGCTCGAACGCCGGCCGCAGGGCCGCCGCCTGTGCAGGCGCCGACAGGCCGCGCCGAGGCCGACAGGCACGGCCGGAGGCCCGCGAGGGCCAGCGGAGACCGAGGCCGCATCGACAGAGATCCAGCGCATTGAAACATGATCGACCCACGAACCCGGAAAGGAATATAGAACTGTAACACATGGCAGCGTTTTCAAAGACACCTGATTGCGTGACGGGCAACTGCAACGCTGAGTGGATCGATCTTGATGTACCCTGCCGAGGGCTGTGCTGTGCTGCACCGTGCTGAATGGCGATGTGCCATGGCGCAAGTGTGCTCTATAGCGTCATGGATCGTGTCCTCCTTTGCATCCGAGCCCTGACCGAACTGATCTGGATCTTAAGCTTGAGCTGCCTGAACACATAGTGGCTGCCCCAGAGCTGATGGACAGGGGAACATGCCAGGAGGACGCGCCGCGAAACGTCCCAAGGGATGGCGCCAGGCGGCGTGCCAGGGGACGTGCCATGGGGTCGCACCGCGGGCCGTGCCAAGGGGACGCGCTACGGAACGTGCCAATGGATGTGCCACGGGATGCGCCAGGGGACGCGCCACGCGACGTGCCGGGGGGACTCGCCAAGGGACGCCCCACGGAACGTGCCAAGGAACGTGCCAAGTGTCAATGCTGAGTGTATCGATCTTGATGTACCGTGCCGAAATCTGTGCTGTGCTGCGCCGTGCTGAATTGCGATGTGCCATGCCGCGATTGTGCTCTATAGCCTCGTGGATCGAGTCCTTCTTTGCATCCGAGTCCTGACCGAACTGATCTGGATCTTTAGCTCGAGCTGCCTGAACACATAGTAGCTGCCCCAGAACTAATTGACAAGGGGACATGCCAGGAGGACGCGACGCGGAACGTCTCAAGGGACCCGCCAGGCGACGTGGCAAGGGACGTGCCATGGGGACGCACCGCGGGACGTGCCAAGGGGACGCGCTACGGAACGTGCTGGGGACAAGCGCTTCGCTCGAGACATCCTGCCAACATCCTCAGAATTCCTGCGCGCGGGACGCGGCACGCGCGAGACATCCTCGGAATTCTTGCAAGCGGGACGTGAAAACAAGCATTTCGCCGGAGACATCCTCTGAATTCTGGACCCCCACGAGGCCCCCCACGAGGCCCCCGCTCGAGACATCCCCCAATTTTGCAAAACCAGCGTTTCGTTCGAAACGTCTTCAACAAATTATGAAAGACAAGCATTTCGCTCGAGGCATCCTGCCAAAATTCAAGGACATCCTGGCAAAACAAACGAACTAGTCGAGACATCCTCGAAATTCCTGCGCGCGGGACGCGGCACGCGCGAAACATCATCGGAATTCCTGCGCGCGGGGCGCTTTTCCGCGTCGCGGTCGGCTCTGCAAAACCAGCGTTTCGCTCGAGACATCCTCGACAAATTCTGAAAACAAGCGTTTCGCTCGAGACATCCCCAACTTTGCAAAACCAGCGTTTCGCTCGAGACATCCTCAAAACATGATGGACCCACGAACCCGGAAAGGGATATAGACATGTGGAGCATGGGCACGTTTTCACGATACCCAACGGGGCAACACCTCACGAAACATCCCACGAGACACCTCACGAAACATCCCACGAGACACCTCACGAAACATTCCGCGAGACACCTCACGAGACACCCCGCGAAACATTCCACGAGACACCCCACGAAACATTCCACGACGACAGGCAACCACTCAACCAAGGCGGTGTGGTCGTGCTGGGGAGTGGTCGTGCTGGGGTGTGGTCGTGCTGGGGGGTGGTCGTGCTGGGGGTGGTCGTGCTGGGGGGGTGGTCGTGCTGGGGGGTGGTTGTGCTGGGGCGTGGTCGTGCTGGGGTGGTCGTGCTGGGGCGTGGTCGTGCTGGGGCGTGGTCGTGCTGGGGTGTGGTCGTGCTGTGGTGAGGTCGTGCTGGGGTGTGGTCGTGCTGGGGTGTGGTCTTGCTAGGGTGGGGTCGTGCGTGGGGTGGGGTCGTGCTGGGGTGGGTCGTGCTGGGGTGGTCGTGCTGGGGTTCGTGCTGGGGTGTGCTGGGGTGGTCGTGCTGGGGTGTGGTCGGGGTGTGGTCGTGCTGGGGTGTGGTCGTGCTGGGGTGTGGTCGTGCTGGGGTGTGGTCGTGCGTGCTGGGGCGTGGTCGTGCTGGGGTGGGGTCGTGCTGGGGTGGGGTCGTGCTGGGGTGTGGTCGTGCTGGGGTGGTCCGCACCCTGTGATTCATCGATCGGGTCGTGCTGGGGTGTGGTCGTGGTGGGGTGTGATCGTGGTGGGGTGTGGTCGTGTTGGGGTGTGGTCGTGCTGGGGTGTGGTCGTGCTGGGGTGTGGTCGTGCTGGGGTGTGGTCGTGCTAGGGCGTGGTCGTGCTGGGGTGTGGTCGTGCTGGGGTGTGGTCGTGCTGAGGTGTCCCGCACCCTGTGATTTATCGATCGGGATTTCAAAAACAAGCGTTTCGCTCGAGACATCCTCAAAAATATTTTTGCCGGCCTCCTTCGACCTCGATATTTATCAAGGAATAATTTCGCCGGCCTCCTTCAAGTTGGGCACGGGGGACTATGTTTACATACTAAAAGAGAACCCTGGGCCTGAGCCCTTTCCGGGAAAAAACTGAAAAACAAGCGTTTCGCTAGGGACATCCTCAAAAATAATTCCGCTGGCCCTATACTCCCGCACGTCATGTATCGCAGAATAATTTCGCCGGCCCAAGTCGCAGGGGGGCCGGGGGGTTAACCTACTAAAAGAGAACCCTGGGCCCGCGCCCTTTCCGGGAAAAATCAAGACGCAAATTTGTTGTATTTTTCGGCCTCGAGGGCCCTCGCCGGACCCCGGGACCGTCAAAAAACGACTCAGGATGAAGAACCGGTCCTGGGGAATGGGTCGAGACTTCCAGGGACCCCGTATTGAAAAAATCACGACATCGGATCTCTGGGTCGACAGAGTTAGGTCGGGCATGCCGTCCTACAGGCGGCTTTTGAACGGAAAATGAACAAAAGTACTCAACCAATGCCCTTAAATAGAGTGTGTGTATGTATGTATGTATGTATGTATGTATGTATGTATGTATGTATGTATATGTGTGTGTGTATGTGTGTATGCATATATCTATATATCTATCTATGTCTGTCTGTCTGTCTGTCTGTCTGTCGGTCTGTCTGTCTGTCTGTCTGTCTGTCTGTATGTATGTATGTCTGTCTGTATATGTGTATGCGTGTATGTATCTATGTATGTATGTATGTATGTATGTATGTATGTATGTATGTATGTATATATATATATATGTGTATGTATGAATGTATGTATGCATGTATGTTTGTATGTATGTATGTATGAATGTATGTATGTATGTATGTATAAAGAAAATCGTCCCCATACTACTTGTTTGACAATGTTGGAGCATCCCTGCTGCAGGGAGACAGGCCCGACTTCACGATAGAGAGCCCACCAAAGGGGGGGGGGACCCTGAGGGGGGGGCGGGGAGTTCGAGGTGCATCGAGTTTCAAGAAAACGAGGCCCCCAGCGCGCCCCGACTGTCGACGCCTCTCGGGTTCCAGCGGCGGCCGGAGACCCCGTTCCGCACTGCTCCTACCGACGGGTTTTGAACGAAAAATCAAAAGTGCTCAAACAATGCCTGAAATAGTAAGAAGTAATAGAAGAGTCGTCCCCAGACTATTTTCTGACTATTTTTTGATATCCCTCCTGTAGAGACACAGGCCCGACTTCACGATATAGAGAGCAGAACGTCCACCCCCAGAATACAGTCGGGGAGTTGACCTAAGGAACCCTGAAGCAGGAACGAGGACCTTTCGTCTCCCATCAGAAACCCAAAGACAACCGGAGAGGCGAGCCGTGAAGCAATTGAGGAACACGGGGCCCCTCCCCAACGCAACAGGTTCCTTCTTCAGCGCCCCGATTGTAAGCACCCCGACAAGCGAAGCCGTCTTCGGCGGTGGACAAACCTCCCTTTCATGAATCTCCCTTTCGTGAAAACGGCCTAGGACCGAAACCGACGGACCTGGACCCCCAAAAATGACGGCCGCGACGCCCTCTCGCGAACCGAAAACGGCCAATTCGCTAATCGACGCGTCAGGGTGGGAGGTCTCTCTACCTCCGACGTTGAGTGAACGCGCCCAGGGAAGGACTCGAACAGGGCAAGGCGGTGCAGCCGGGGGCCGTTGTAGTGAACGCCAAAATGGTCGGGGCCCGGGTGGTTCATCCTCCCTTTCGGGTGCTGCTAGAAGTGCCCCTGGCCCAAGGTGCCCCCAGCTATTCGCTCCATTTTGGAGCCCCTGGGGCCCTCTGGGCCTCGCGAGGGGTGCCCTGGAGGCCGCCTGGGCCACCACGAGAACCCTGGGGTACTTCTAGCAACACCCGACCCTTGAATCGAGGGAGCGCGACTGGGGAGGCCGCGGCGGCGCAGCAACGTGAGACGAAGCCAGGACGAGGGCAGAGTCGGGTGGGGACGAGCCGAGAATCCCTGAGGCCCGGCGGCTCTGGAAGATGCATCGGGCGCCGCGGCCTTCCCAGAACTTTCCGGAACGCTCCGAGAGCGTCTTGGAACGCTCCGGAACGGATCTATCCCCGGCGGCCGTCCCAGCCCCGCCCGGCGAGGCCGCATCGAGCGAGCGCGACTGGGGAGGGCGCGGCGGCGCCACAACGGCGCGGCGACCGACGAGGCCGAGCCGAGCCGAAGGCGAGACCGACTGTGACATAGTCAGATGAACCGCATCGCTAGGGCTAACACCCGGGTACACGTCGGTCGGAAGAAATAGGTAGAAGCATGAAGTAGGAAGGCGGATATAGTAGATTGGGTCCAGGTCCTCCCAGAGAATATCAAAACACAGCAAAAGCATGGCGATTCTTGAAGTAGGAAGGCGTTTGAAGTAGATTGGGATCTGGGAATACAGAAATACCTACTTTCAACGACCGGCGTGTAGCCTAGGTCATCTAGCCTTGCGCCCCGCGCCCCCGCCACACACGGGCAGCTCCGCGCCCTCACGGGGCCGCCTTGGAGCAGGGCGACGCTCCACCGCAGGACGCGGCGCGCGAGGCCCGACCTCACGCTCAGACTCTGCACCCCCACGCGGGGTGACCGAGGAGACGGGGTCGTGAGGGGAGCGGGTCCTGGACCCCGGGGCTTGTCCCGACCGGCCTCGCAGGTGCCCCGGGCAGTCTTCGAACGGTCCAGGGGCGCGAGAGTGGGTCTCTCTGTCGAGGGCGCGAACGGTGCACCCACACCGACCCTGCCCAGGCTCCGCCTGGGCCCGGCATCGCTGTGTACGCCCTCCCGGCACGGGAGGGCAGGCCTCCGCGCCGATCCAGGGCCCAGGATCGGCCTGGCCAGGCTCGGTGCAGCTGTCAGTCCGCGCCCTCCGACCTCGGAGGCCGAACGCGGGTCAGAACCTCGGGACCCCTCGGGCTCCCCCCTCCCGTGCGCGGCGTCTCCTGCTCGCGCCCGACGGCGGTCAGCGGGGCGTCCCACATGTCCATCGGGTCCTGCGAGTGCTGCTCGTAGTGGGCGTTATCCGCCACCGCGCTGGCAGCGGTAGTCGTGCGTCGGGCCCTCTCGCCCCTTGCGAAGCATTCGTTGGCCCCCCCCGGCGCAGCAAGCCCAAGATGCGTTCGTGGCGCGTTCATTCCCCAATCAGGCTTGCCTAAGGAGTCCTTACTTGGTTAAAGGTTGGTGCCTCCTATTCTTGCGTTGCCCGTTGCTCGGAGGTTCCCAGGGTTCTTCGGGTTCCCCGGTTTTTTCGGGCTTCCCGCCCTGGGTGCCTCGCATTCTTACCGTGTCCGTGCCCCAGAGGTTCCTCGGGTTCCCCGGGTTCCTCGGATTCCCCGCCCCCGGTGCCTCGTATTCTTACGTTGCCCGTTCCTCGGAGGTTCCTCAGGCTCCTGGGGTTCCTCGGGTTCCCCGCCCTGGTTGTTGTTTTTTCCCAGCAGTGCCGGGCAACGACAGGCAACGCCAAGCAAGGCCAAGCCAAGCAATGCCAAGCAACGCCAAGCAGCGCCAAGCAACGCCAACCAGCGCCACGCAGCGCTAAGTGGTGCCACGCAGCGCCAAGCAGCGCCAAGCGATGCAAAGTAATGCCAAGCAGCGCCAAGCAGTGACATGCAATGCCAATCGACGCAAAGCGATGCCAAGCAGCGCGAAGCAACACCAAGCACTGCCGCGCAAGGCAATACGATGCAAAGCGAAGCAGTGCAATGCCAAGCAGTCCCCAACCCCCAGTTGGGGTCGCGCCGGGTTCATTCTTATCACCAAGGTCGGGGGAGGGACGTGCACTGGATTATCCCCCCCAGGCGCCCGCCCACGCCCCCCCCCGTGGGCTCCCGCCTGGGCGCGGCGGCGGAATCGCGCGGCAGCGCCGCTGGATACTCGCTCTGGCCGTGCCTCACCAGGTACAGCCGCTTCGGCCACGCGCCCTCGCCGCCGCCGCCTGCCCGCAGGGCGGGGGGTGGGGATGTCCTCGCGCCCCCGCTCCCCGGGACCCACCCCCCCCCTTAGGGCTCCCCCCCCAATCCGCCCGTGGGCATTGGATAAGGAGCCCTCAGGCAAGGAACCCAGGGTCTGGAAGCCAGTGGAGAAGCCACTCGCGGAGCGGCCACGGATGTCACCGCCGCCCTCGCTGGATCAGGAGCCCTCCAGGGCCTCTGGCGTCTCCCGGGCGCACTCCTTACCCCAGATTTCGTAATAAAGTGAGGGGGGTCTCATTTCGGGGGGGGTCTCTTCCAGGCTGTCTTGGAGGGCCTGGGGGGGTCTGGGGACGATGTTTTGGAGGGTTCTCCCACGGGGGGGGGTCTGAATGGCTTGTCTTGGAGGGTCCAGACCCCCTCCCTTTTATTACGAAATCTGGAGTAGCGAATCTCCTCCTCCTCCTCCTCCTCCTCCTCCTCCTCCTCCTCCCTCCTCCTCCCTCCTCCCTCCTCCCTCCTCCCTCCTCTTCCTCCTCTTCCTCGGTTCCTTAGGCAACGCCCCCACCGTGCGGATGATCGCCTCCCTCCCCCGCGCGGAGCTCCCTCCGCGCGCGGAGGGCCTCCACGGAGGGCAGGAGTGCCCCGAGGCCGCCGGAGGCCCGCGGGCAGCCCCTCGAGCCTCGAGCCATGAGAGATTCACGACTGCTGGGCCTGTTCTCCATCACCACCACCACCACCATAAGTTGGAGGGGGGGTGGAGGAGGAGGAGGAGGAGGAGGAGGAGGGGGAGGAGGAGGAGGAGGAGGAGGAGGAGGAGGAGGAGGAGGAGGAGGAGGAGGAGGAGGAGGAGGAGGAGGAGGATAAGATAAGATAAGACAAGCGCCGAGAGGCGGACCAGGCTTCAGCCAAGACAATTGGGTTCCAGCAGGGTGGCGCTAAGGGTCATTTCAGCCCGTACCCGTTAGCCACTTTCGCCACCAGCTGGACCCCGAGACGGCACAATACGCAACGAACATGTCACGAATTTCGGTGCCAGTACCCGCATCCACAGTTCGGGACGCAACGAAAAGGGCACAACTGAACAGGCGGAAAAACTGTACCCGCCACGCTCGCTGAATGTCACACCCGGGACTCGCTTGCGAACTCTCCGCTGGAGCTCGCTCGAGAATTCAACTCCTTCTGACGAATTCGCTCGTGGAGGGCGGCCATTCGAGCTTCAAAGGGGTAACTTGCATCAGGATTCGACCTCACAGAAACGCTGGTGGTTTCAACCGTCGGGGCACGCGGTGTCCGCGCCACACGGTCCAGAGGGAGGGTCGACAAAATCTGATTGGCGAGCCCCCTGTGAAGGCCCACGCCTGTTCGAAGATTTCTCAACACCTCGATCCCCTTCGGGGTGGGATGGGTGCAGGGGCTTCGGAGCTTCAGCTTACGCCTCTGTTGGGCCCAAACCCCGCACAGCACACATACAAACACTGGCTTATCAGACTGCTCAGGAGGATCAGGCAGCCGAAAACCAGCAATGGCCCCGGGCTCGGGCACTACCGCACCGTGTCCGTGACACGCTCGAGGGACAGCACATCTACTACCAGACTGGTGGACGGCAACTAGTTGGTGACCCTGAGGGGAGCGGAGGAAGGCTCTGAGGAAGTCGGGGGGTCCCACGGCACTCCGTCAGGGGCTTGCCCTGGGAATCTTTCAAGACGATCAGGCAGGCTCGGCATTGGGTCCCACACGCTGTGGAGCACCAGTCGTGCCAGCCCTCCCGCCTAACATTTCGCTGTCTACGAAACACGGGGAGCCTCTGCCACCTCTCCTCCTGCTCGAAAAGTGGCAAAACAGAGGCTACTAATTTCACAAGCTGTGCGCAGTCCCGCTCAGAACCCTCGAGGGCCTCAAGGAGCTCGTGAGGGGGTTTGGGATGGATCTGCACCGCTCGCTTTGCATATGCATCTGCTACAATATTTGCATCAGTCAGGCGGCGCTCGACGGGCCCTAGCTGCTCATACTCCGTGCCAGATCTGTGGGCTTTTACATGGCTTACACTGCGGATGTGCTGTTTTCCTGGCAATCTGTTACCGAAAACTTGCACACATGCATACATTGATCTGTCAATCGCCTGCTGGGACGGAGACTTCTGGCCGACGCGGACAGCGCCCATATAGTCAAGAAAGAGATCTGCTGGTCGATCTGCAACTTGCCCTGAGAAGGCCATCCCAAGAAACTCCGCCAGCACTGAGCTCTGCGGCATAGCAGCTGGCACGGCGCCGTACAGCACGAGGAGGGGCAGGCTCGACACAGGGTCCAGCAGGACGACGGCCCAGCCCGCGCGCTGGAGCTCCAGCAGCACCGGTTTGCTGCACGAGCCGTCGGCGGCCAGCTCAACCTCGAGGGCGTCGGGGCAGGCGTGGGACACCATCTGCTCCGCCGCTATGTCCACGGGCTGGCCCTCCGCGTCAGCGACGCGCGCCTCGGTGCCGGGATCCAGCATCGGCAGGTCGGCGTCCTGGTACTCGAAGCTGCCGTGGAGGAACGACCGCACGCCCTCGCCGTCGGTGCCCCGCTGTATGAAGTCCGCCGTCACCTCGGACTCAGCCCTGGCGGCCACGACGTCCGGGCGCATGCAGGTGAAGACTCTGTGGTGGATGGTATCCGCCTGGCCACAGGCGCACTTCCCGTCGGTCTCGTACCCGCGGAGTCGGGCCCGCTCGCGGGTCCAGCAACCACCGCAAGCCATGGTCTTGACCAGGAACTTCTGGTAGTACGTGTACTTGGTGCTCTTGGCTCGCACGAAGGGCCGCAAGACGTCGAAGGATACCCTCGCGCCCACCGGGCACTGCCACTTCTCGGCCAGGGCGAGCTCGTGCTGCCGCTTCAGCGCGGCCGTCATGAGCACCTCGAGCACACCAGGCGTGAGCTGCTCCAGCGGGATTGGCGCCCCGCGGTGGTCTCGCCAGGTGGTGGGCGACTCCGCCGTCCACCCGACGCGGCGAACACACAGAGCGGCTCGTTCCAGGGGACCACGGGACGTGCTCCACTGAAGATCATTCAGAGCTCGCCCCGCAAGCGCCTGCGACCACCAGGCACACAGGGTAGCCAGAGGGACTAGTGCACTATCAGGCTGTGTGACGGCAGCCCAGATCATCCTCGACCACTGCAGCGCTGGGGCGACCGCCTGCTTGGCAGCAGGGTCCCCCTCCAGCACTAACTTGGCGGACGCCGAGACGCCGCCGTGGAACGGCTTTACAAACTTGCCGTACTCCCTGCGCAGGTTGGTGAGCTCAGCGTCCGTCATGCCGCTGATCTCGACCCCGTAGGTGAGACCAGGCCGCGCGCCGACCCGGAACACCCTGCCCATGCGAGCCTCCTTTTGCACAGGGAGCGCCCGCTTGTACCTGGCCAACTTCTTTTGCCTGAGCTTGAAACGTCGGAGGCGACCTTTCTGCTTGGTGCGCACATGTGCCGAACATCGAGATCTGCCTGCAGCAAAGTCGGTACCGAGGTAGTGCGTCGTCCTCTTGGCCGCCCCAGGAGCTGCGGCAAGACGCTCTGCAACCGCCTCGCTTATCCCCTTCACGCTGCCAACAGTCGCAAGCTTATCGTTGATGGTCGCACCGAGGCGTCGCGCGACCTGCTGGAAGCCTCTGCCTGCAGCCACTCCTCGCTCTATCACTTCCTCCGCGGTTCGGCCTTCCACGCCGATGCTACTATCGTCGATGTAGCTGGAAAAATCCACGTGCGAGTGCAGGGGCACGTAGCGGTCGTACTCCTCCACCGCGTGCACCTTGATGCCGGTGTCAGCGTAGGAGTCTCCTGCGGGAAGCCCTCGCAGGCCGTGACGTGGCCGCGCGCCATGGTGCCGAATGAGACGAATGATCCCTGGCGCACGCCAAGTGTTATAGAGCAGCTTGACCACAGGCAAAGGGGCTCCATATCGAACGAACTTCTCTCGTACCTCATCCAGCTCTATCGTCTCATAATATTTGGAATAATCTGCGACGATGGTGAAGCTAATCTGGCCATCACGAACACATGCCTCTGCCTTCGCCGCCAACTTCCAAGCACTATCTATAGCAGACCTACCAGCAGCAGCACCCCAGTACACACGAGAGAGCAGATGCTGCAACGCCTGTAAATCATCGCGCCTCACTCTCTGCCAGACTCTGTAGACCGCGGCGTACAGCACGATGAGCCGATGGCCCCCCTGCGCCTTGGGGAGCATTGGCATCAAGATCCAGACCAGCTGCTTCGGCAGCATGCCGATGGACTCGCACGCCTCCCACAGCATCCCCACGACGTCCAGCGCCTCGTCGGAGAGGTACGCCAAGTGGCGCGGATGCAGCCCGTCGAGGCTGCTCGAAGTGGTCTCAGGGAACGCCCTCGCAGCATCACGGATCTGCTTCGGGGTCGCCCGAGGGAGCGATGACCTATCTGGAATCCACGCCGCCGGGGCTCGGTCCGTGGCCCTCCAGAGGTCAGCATACACATCTTCCATGTCAGCCACAATCACATGAGGGTGCGACGATGGGAGGCCATCCGGCGTCCTGACGACAGTGGGTGCCTGCACGTCCCTGCACGCTGTGATACGATGCAGGCCACGTGCGCCACCAGAGCACGCCTGCTGGCACCAGTCTCGCCAACGCCGGTCACTATTTTTGTCCGCAGCCTGCGCGGCAGCGCGCGCATCCGCATCGATATCTTCCAAGAACTCCCTGGCCTGGTCCGCCGAGAAGTTGCCCGCCAGTAGGGTACGCGCCTGCTGCACCGTCGCGTCGAGCCTAGGGTTGATGCCCATGCTCGCGTACTGGCAGGTCTGGAAGCTCATCAGCTCATCAGGCATCTTCAGTTCACGCTCGGAAGGGCTACTTTCTCTAAGGAAGATGATGCTCGTGATACTGTCCACAAGCCACTTCCACCCTTCACCCATAGCCTGAAGCCCTTCTGCATCGTTCCCCTCGTACATAACGTCGACCCAACGGGGCCTCAAGATCCGAGCAAAGCCATGAGTATGCGCCAGCTGGGAGCCCGCCACGTGCGCGATCCTCGTGGCGGCCTTCACGGCGAACCGGCCCCACGCAAGAGTGAGGAAGCCCCATGCTGCATCTGCGTCCGCCTCCTTCGACATCGTGACGGCCTTCTGCGCGTGCCGTGCCTCGCAGCTCCAATCTTCATCTTGACGGCATGGACCCGTCACTGCCGGGACCGCAAGCTTGGGCACCACAGCATATGTGAGAAGCTGAATATTCTCTCCTGTCGCCGCCATCTGGAGTGTGACGGGGCGGTGTGGCTTCGCCGCCCAGGAGACGTCGGCATCCACACGCTGGAACAGACGCAGTGCCGCCGCCGAGAGCCCAAAGTAGTCGATGGTGCTGCACGCGGCGGCCGTCCTGCACGTGATTGCCTTGGGCACCGCCATCGTGAGCAGGGCCGCCGCAGGGAGCTGCGCCGCCTCGATGGCCGCCGCCTCCATGTTCCAGTCGCCGCCGACAATGCTCGGCGACACCTGCCCCGCCAGCGCCTGGCCGACCGCGCCCAGGATGGTCGCGTTCCTGACCGTCATGCCCTCGGCGCAGTGAAGGTACAGGTTGAAAATGTTCATGGGCGGCCACCCCAGGACGTCCACTACCACATGCAGTGCACGCCGTGGAGCCAGAACACTACGGTCTGGTGGACGTCGCAGCCCAACAGCCGTCCTCGCAAACACGGCGACTCCCGCGCTGGGCAGATGTCCCGCGGTCTGGTCGCCTGGCTCGATGATCACTTGCCAGCCCGCCCGGCCGGCCCAACTCGACAGCTCCTCGGCCTCCCAGTCGTGGTAGCCGATCTCTTGCGCTAACACCACCAGCGCGCGAGTCCTCTCAAGCCGTTTCTTCAAGGTCCTCTTCCCCTCCCTGATTGGCATTGAAGGTCTCGAGCAGCCGCACCTGCTGCTCCGCCACGGGCACCTCTGCGCCCTTGCTGCGGCCGGCTGCAACAGGGAAGCCACTCACTCGCGGCAGGTGGTACTCAACACCCCGCACCTCCGACACGTCGGTGCTTGTGCTTCTGCATGTCACTGACGAGCCCCAGCAAATCCGCTTGGGACAATCCTGGCTGTCCCTCGCCGTGCTGGAGCTTTGCCCACAATTGCTGCACATCCTCGCTGGTGTAGTCCTCGGCATGGCGCTTGTCCCCCTGGCTAGCGGCCCCAGCAGCGCCGCCCCCAGGAGCAGCAGGCTCAGCAGCAGGTGCAGCAGGCTCCTGGGCGGTCGGCGGACCACCGGAAGGAAATTCGAAGAGACCCATCTTGATGTCGGGCTTCTGCTCCTGCATCTTGGCCTGCAGGTTGCCGTGGAGCAGCTTCTGCAGCCTCGCAAACTTGTCATTGGCCGCGACCTGCCTGAGGAACTCCGCCAACTCTGGGTCGCTCGCCAAGCCTGGGTCCTCCTGCGCCTTCTCGAAGAAGTCCTCGGGGATCGTGGACGTCGGCACCACCGGTGGGGGCGCCGCAGCCTCGCCGCGCTGCCGCTGGAGCTCGGCCGCGCTCGCCGCCACTTGAGCTGCAAGCGTGTCCACCTCAGCGGCCTTGGTGGTGATGACCGCCTTCTTGCCAGCAGTGTCGCTCTGGAGTTGGACCAGCTTCTCCTCGAGAGACTCCAGCTCCTCCTTGTGGCGATCCAGCTGCGCCCGACACTTCTCCAGCTTCTGCTGGGAGGCGCGGTGGACGGTGGCAGGAGGGCGGAGGGCACGCAGTTGCACCCGCTTCTCGTCCAGCTGTAGCTTGAGCGACGTGGTCGACTCGCCCTCCCCGCACTCGGTGAGGCTCTTGACTGCTCGAGCGCCGTGATCTGCTTCTGCAGTGCCGTGCGCTTGGCAGTGTTCTCGTCCTTGGCGGCGTCTGCCGCCTCTTCTTCATGTGCGTGTACGTCTGGCTGCCCGCGTCCAGCACCTTTCTTCTGGGACCTGAGCTGCTCAGCCAGCGCGTCGCACTTCGCCTGCAGCTTCTTATACTCCGCACTCCATGGTGCCGGTGATGGCGAGCCCAAGCCGCTGCCGCCGACATGACGGGAGGGAACCTGCGTAGACGCCTCGGCTTGAGCTGCAAACTTACGGGCTCGTTGGATGACGTGCTGCGGTGCTGATGCCCCGCACCTGCACTTGACTCTGCACGCCCAGTTCGTCGATACTCCGCAGCTGGGGCACCCCCATGTCGGTTTCTTCGGCCCTGCGAGCAGGGAGCCTGGCGGCGCCATCGCGGCGAGTCTGGGGAAACACGCGTCCAGACTCTGGCAACAGACCGGCGGCTTCTCGCAGGGCAACCCGAAACAGATGTGCTCCAGCAGGAGCTCACAGTGTAACTGCTCCAGCAGGAGCTCACAAAATCACTGGGAGCGATCCGCGGACTAGCGGTCTCCACGTTGCCGCTGGGCGACATGGAGTCTTGAGCCAACATGGCTACGGAAAGGAGGAGGAGGAGGAGGAGGAGGAGGAGGAGGACGTCTCTTGGGACGTCTCTTGAGGTGGGGGGGGCGCCCGTGGCGCCCCCCCACCTAAGGAGGAGGGAGGAGGAGGAGGAGGAGGAGGGGAGGAGGAGGAGGAGGAGGAGGAGGAGGAGGAGGAGGAGGAGGAGGAGGACCCCCTCCCCCTCCAACTTATGGTGGTGGTGGAAAACAAGCCCATCTACGACGGGAGGTTTGTCCCTCTTTTCGGCCTCTGGGCCGCCCCTCGGGACCATCGGAACACGACTCGGGCTGAGAAGCCGGTCCCCGGGAAAGGACCGAGACCTCTCGGGGTTGACGCTATGATGGACAAAGCATGGCGTCGGGGAGGTCTGGGGAGCTCTCGGGGGGCCTCCGGGCAGGCCCGCGGGAGGCCCCGCGGGAGGCCCCCGAGAGGAGGCCAGGACAGGGCCGAGGCTGCGCCGAGCACCGCCGCCTGGCCGCAGGCGCGCGCGGCAGAAGTCGCGCACCGCTCGCACGGGCCCCCCCGAGCAGCACGGCGGCGGCCTCGGGCCGCCGCCCGCCGCAGGGTCGCGCGGGGCCGCCATGGCCGCCGCGGTCGGCGCGGGCTCGGCGGCTCCTCTCCTCGCGCGCGCACAGCGGCGGGCCGCAGAGCGTTGAGCCACTGAGCGGGGCATCCTGGATCCCTCGGGCACCCCTGCTTTGCAGGCTTTGCCTTTTCTTGGCTTGTAACGACTTACAACAAGCTTGCTGCACTTACGGGCGACAACATGAATTTCGGAATGTACAACATTGGTTACAACCAACTTATATGTCGGCCAAGCTCCCGTTAATCCAACATCGTTTTCATAAGCATTCGTAAGTTGTTATAAGTTTTACAGAAGTGTTCTAGGTTGATGGAGGCGGGCATTGACTCCTCCTCCTCCTCCTCCTCCTCCTCGGCGACTGTCCCCTCCCTGTTCCTCTCATCATCATCATCATCATCATCATCATCATCATCAACATCATCATCATCATCATCAGCAGCATCAGCATCAGCATCACCATCAGCATCAGCATCATCATCATCATCAGCAGTAGCAGCATCGTCATCAGCATCGTCATCATTATCATGGATATCGTCATCATCGTCATCGTCATCATCACCATCATCGTCGTCATCATCATCGTCATCGTCGTCGCCATCATCGTCATCATTAACATCATCGCTATCATCATCTCCTTGCCTCTGTCTTCCGCATGTGTCTGTTTCGGCATACCCAGCACAGTGTGCCGTGACCCCATAGGGAGCTCCACCGAATGCCCCAATGGCAGGGATCGCATGGCGGCCTCGGGCCATCTCGGCACAGCCGTCACGAGGATCGTGGCCCCACAGGGAGCGCCACCGAAGGCGCCAGTAGCAATGTTCAAATGGCGGCCTCGGACAATTTGGGCACACTGCTCACGAGGATCGTGGCCCCACAGGAAGCTCCACCGAAGGCGACAGTGGCAGGGTTCGCATGGCGACATCTGGCCATTTTGGCGCACCCCTCACTCGGATCGTGGCCTCATAGGGAGCTCCACCGAAGGCCCCAGTGGCAGGGTTCGCATGGCGACTTCTGGCCATTTCGGCACACCACTCACGAGGATCGTGATCGAAGACGCCCACGGCGAATCACCGCCGCCCCCTGCCTTCGTGGAAGCGCCTATGTGGCCGAACGTTGAGGCCAGACCCGCCAAGCTATCGGACCATGTGTTCCCCGTATCGGTTTGGAAAGCCTTCGGGGAACACGTCGGCATCTTGAAGGTCATCTTGGCCGTCTGGAGGCCATCTTGACCCTTTCGGGCCTTCTCGGAGGACGTCTTGGAGGGCTCTTGGGCCGTCTTGGAGGCCATCTTGAGCGTCTTGGAGGCCTCTTGGGCCGTCTTGGGGGCCTCTTGGGGCCGTCTTGGGCCTCTTGGGCGATCTTTGGGGGCTCTTGGGCCACCTCGGGCCGTCGGAAGGCCGAAAACGAGCAAATGCCACAATCCTTGAAATACGCGTGGGACATCAATGTTTTTGGCCTTTTCGGCCCTGCCTGGAGGCCCTCTTGGAGGCCTCTTGGGCCGTCTTGGGCCATCTTAGGGCCATCTTCGGCCGTTTTGGTGGGCTCGTGGCCCGTCCGACGCCGTCGGAAGCCGTTTGGGGGGCCCCTCTGGGCCGACTTGGGGCCCTCTTGGAATGCTCCAGGGCCGTCTTAGATGCCATCTTGGGCGTCTTAAAAGCTTCCTGGCTTGTGTTGGGGGCCTCTTGGGGCCGTCTTGGGGGCCTCTTGGGCCGTTCTGGGGCCATCTTGGAGGCCTCTTGGGCGATCTTTGGGCGCTCTTTGGGGGCTCTTGGGCCGTATCGGGCCTTCGGCCGAAAATAAGCAAATGTCAACATCCTTCAAAAACCTAAGAAAAATCAATGTTTTTGGCTTTTTCTGGCCTTCCTGGAGGCCCTCTTGGAGGCCTCTTGGGCAGTCTTGGGCCAGCTTCAAGCAAACTTCGGCCATCTTGGTGGGCCCCTGGCCCGTCTGACGCCGTCGGAAGACGTTTGGGGGGCCTCTCTGGGCCGACTTGGGGCCCTCTTGAGGTGCTCCAGGGCCGTCTTAGGGGCCATCTTGGGCGTCTTGGAAGCCTCTTGGGTCGTCTGTGTGCCCTCTTGGGGCCGTCTTGGGGGCCTCTTGGGCAGTCGTAAGTCCATCTTGGAGGCCTCTTGGGCGCTGTGGGGGGCGATCTTGAGGGCCTCTTGGGCCGTCTGGGGTCGTCGGAAAGCCGAGAAGGAGCAAATACGAAGAACCTTTAAAGACATAAGGAACATCAATGATTTTGGCCTCTTCGGGCCCTCCTGGATGACCTCTTAGAGGCCTCTTGGGCCGTCTTGGAGGCTTCTTGAGCGAACTTGGAGGTATCTTGGACTCTCTTAGGCTGTCTTGGAGGTCGTCTTGGACCATCTTGGGCGGACTTGGGGGCCATCTTGGAAGCCATCTTGGGCCAACGTGGCCATCTTGGAGGCCATCTTGAGCCGTCTTGGAGGATTTTTTGCGGGATTGAGGTCCCGGAGGTCCTTCCCGGGACCCTGGCGGGACGCGCCGGAGCCCCAGGGGGAGTTCTTTTGGAAAAGAACTAAAACCAAAACCGAAATAATTTGGCACGCCAGGCACCCCTGTGGCAAGCCAATAGGGGGCGGCAGACCCCGTAGGAGCTCCACCGAAGGCGCCAGTAGCAGGGTTCAAATGGCGGCCTCGGGCCATTTCGGCACACCCCTCACGAGGATCGTGGCCCCATAGGAGCTCCACCGAAGGCGCCAGTGGCAGGGTTCGCATGGCGGCATCGGGCAATTTTAGCGCACCCCTCACGAGGATCGTGGCCCCATAGGAGCTTCAACGAAAGCCCCAGTGGCAGGGTTCGCATGGCGACTTCTGGCCATTTCGGCCCCCCCCTCACGAGGATCGTGGCCCCATAGGCCCCGTAGGGAGCTCCACCGAAGGCGCCAGTGGCAGGATTCGCATGGCGACTTCTGGCCATTTCGGCGCACCCCTCACGAGGATCGCGGCCTTATAGGGGGATCCACCGAAGGCGCCAGTGGCAAGGTTCGCATGGCGGCCCCGTCCCTTTTCGGCGCACCCCTCACGAGGATCGTGGCCTCAAAGGGAGCTCCACCGAAGGCGCCAGTGGCAGGGTTCGCATGGCGGCCCCGTCTCATTTCGGCGCACCCCTCACGAGGATCGTGGCCCCATAGGGGATCCACCGAATGCCCTATTGGCAGCGTTCGCATGGCGGCCTCGGGCCATTTCGGCACAGCCCTCAAGGGGATCGTGGCCCCATAGGGAGCTGCACCGAGGGCGCCGGTGGTAGGGTTCGTCTGGCGGCCACGCCCCATTTGGGCACACCCCTCACACGGTTCGTGGCCCCATGGGGAGCTCCACAGAAGGCACCAGTGGCAGGGCTCGCATGGCGGCCCCCTCTCGCGCGCCCAGTTGGCCACCTCCGCTCGCCGCCAGCAGCACTCAGGCGCTCCCTTGCTGGGGTGCACCTCCGCTCGCGCCCCGTCGCCGCTGCCCTGGACCCGGACTGGCCCCGCGAGGCTCCCGGGCCTCTCCGACGCGGCGCTGCCCTCCCCGCTCGGGGAGGCCGACCCTCTTGACCCCGGGCTCCCCTCTTGATGGCCTTGGGCCAGGCGCGGCCAGGAGGAGGAGGAGGAGGAGGAGGAGGAGGAGGAGGAGGAGGAGGAGGAGGAGGAGGAGGAGGCCCTCTCAGAAGGCAGGTGGGCTCCTCAGAAGCCCCCCCCCGGCCTTCTGAGAAGTCTTCGGCGCCTTCGGGCAAGGCTCGGAAGGCTTCTCGGAAGGCCAGGGGACGTCCGAGCCTTCCGAGAGGGCCGCCCCTCCTCGCTTCCCCCCGGGGCTCGCCGCCGATACCGATCCGACCCCGAAGTTCGGCCTGCGTGCGTCGTTGGCGAAGAGTTTCCGAGCACTCGTGTCCGTGCTCCTCGTCGTGTCGCCCGTGTCGCTGCGCTCCAGCCCTGCTCGACTGCTCTTTGCCCTCGCTGCCCTCCCTGGGTCGTCTTCTTCTGCTCTTGCGCCCTCTCGTTGCGGAGCCGCGGCTGTACTTCGAGGGCTACCAAAAGGTGATGATGGTCTGAAGCATGCGGCACGAGTGACGCCTCCGCAGAAGCCACCGCTGGGATCATCTGCCTGGCATCCCTGTCGAATGTTCATGTGCATCCCGACCCCAGCGCAGCCCTGCGAACTCGTGCAACGCGTCCCAGATCGTGCTTCACTCCTGCTGACTTCCCCCCTCACCTCGACCGACTCCGTCAGCTCAAGACAGGCCCATCTTTCACGAAACAGTCGCAGATGTATGCCTGGATAGCCTCGCATTGCAAAACCATTGTGTTGCACTGTCCACCTTCGCCACCGTATTCGATCCACTAGGGCACTCGTACGGCAAACAGCGACCGTTTCGAGTATGATCACCAAGCCGACGAGATGCATTGTTCGGTGGCAACTCATGGGTCCCCCCCGCACCAATTTCTGCTCTTCCGAAACGACGCGAGTCAATGCTAATCGACGCCCGTCGACGCTAATCCACGCAAGTTCAACGCTAATCGACGCTAGTCGACGCTAACCGACGCTACATCCGCGCTATCCCATCGATTACTTGATGCTAATCGACGCTAGCCGACGATAAAGACGTAATTAAGCCAGCGGGTATACAAGACTTCCATTATTTGACACCGAAGCATTCGAGGAGCATGCAGCGTTGGCAACATGCGTTGGCAACATGCCCACGTCAACATCGCAATTCCACGTAACACACTTGATGGTACTTGACGCATACTTGTACGAAAGCCCCCTCGGGTTTGATAGGCCAGGACCATCTCGGCATATATGGTCCAGGGCTTGGGCCTCCCCCCCCCAATGCTGATGCCATTGGCCCCCCCCCCCCCCCCTTGGGTCCCCCCCCCCCCCGCGCGCCCCACCCGCCCCCCCCTGTGGGCGTGGCGTGGTGCTGCGCTGCGGTGCCCCCCCCCCCCCCCTGTGGATGTGGTGTGGTGCTGTGGTGGGTTCAGAAGTGGGCGTGGCGTGGTGCTGCGCTGCGGTGCCCCCCTCCCCCCCCCCTGTGGATGTGGTGTGGTGCTGTGGTGGTTCAGAGGTCGTCGTCGTCGTCGTCGTCGTCATCGTCCTCGTCGTCGTCGTCCTCGTCGTCGTCGTCGTCATCGTCGTCGTCGTCGTCGTCGTCGCCGTCGCCATCGTCGTCATCGTCGTCGTCGCTGCCGCCGCCGCCGGCGTCGTCGTCGCCGCAGCCGTCGTCGTCGTCGTCGTGGTCGTCGTCGTCGTCGCCGTCGTCGTAGTCGTCGCCGTCGCCGTCGTCGCCGTCGTCGTCGTCGTCGTCGTCGTCGTCATCGTCGTCGTCGTCTCTGGGACCATACCATCTGGGGGGGGGGTGGGGGGGGGGCCCGAAGAATCCTGGGACCATACCATCTGGGGGTGGGGGGGTCCCGTGAACCCTCGACCCTGGATCATATATCCTAATGTTCAGCCCATGTTCAGCACGCGCCAATCTCGCAGCTTACCCGTCAATTGTGCATGCTGACTCTGTGCACTGACGTATGTGTATTGCAGTTGTGCATGTTCTGCCTGCTTGCTGTTATTATGTGTTAAGCCTGCTAGCACCGTGTGCTGGAATGGCGCGATAACGATTGCTGGCTGGCAGCAGCAGTGCCGAAAAGGAATACCCTTGCGTAGGGAGTGGTGGGCGGAGAACCCAACCAACGCACCCTGACCACATGCCTGCACTGATCACAATTCTGCACTGTTGGGTCCAACGTTGTCCATCAAACGACCTCTGATGTTTGCACGTCATCAATCTCTCCAGCGTGGTGGAACTCATGCAAGCCATCGGAAGCCTAACGACTGATCACACATACAGAGAATACCTGGAACATTCAAATTCGATACACGGGTCATGATCTGTCATGTTCAACCGCGACCGCAACTGAAAGGCATGGGACTAAGAACAGATTCCTGGTCGGCCGAGCTGAGGACATAGTCGATGTCCACCTGGGCTGCAGTGTCGATGGAACCGCTGCTTGCGAGCTGCAGCGTCGACGGTGGCGGCAGGCAGGCACAGGCGCCTTCGCCCTTTTAGAATGACGGCGATGGCCCCCCTGCTCTGAGCATGCGGCGCGCTTGTGATGACAGCACGGAGGGGGGATGCCCGGAAGTCCAGGTAGCGCTTCGGCCTTACAGGCGCTGCCCCCGCTTGGGGGGATGTCGCCTGGTGGGTCTGGGGCCGTGCAAGAGATCGGCGGCGAGCGAGGGGGGGGGAGTGAGAAGGGGCGGGTCTTCTCAGAAGGCTCGGAAGTCCCACGGCCTTCTAAGAAATTTTCTCAGCCTTCCCCGAAGACGCCGAACACCTCTCAGAAGGCCGAAGGGCTTCTAAGAAGCCCCGCTGCCTTCTGAGAAGGCCTTCTCCTTCTCACTTCCCCCCCTCGCTCGCCGCCGAAGAGAATCACAACTCACCATCCAGAGCAGAAGACCCGGACTCGCATCCAATTGGAGCTGCCAATTCTACTGAGCGCGATGCTCCCTGAACGGCGATACCCTGAGGTCCCCACGCAAAAGGAATCGTCAAGTCCAGATGGTGTTTCAAATATTTGCGCACAGACGGTCCAGGTAGGCGGGATCCAGCTTACGATGACCAGCCCGACTTCAAAACGCGGGGGCCATTCCAATGGTGCCCGCAAGCACAGATGCAATAGCTTGTTGCGTGAACAACTACCCCAACTACTGCGCGCAACCATTGCGAACGATTGCGTCGGCGAGTTCGGCGAATGCATCGGCCGAATGCGATATCGCATGGTCGTGCACGGCAGTGATATCTTGGAGCGTAAACGATTGCAAAATACCTTTTGCAAAACATCGGCGAACGAACTACCGCACAACAGGAATCAACGATTGCCCTCGCGCGCAAGAACTCAAACATCCCAGCAATTGCGCGGGGTGTTGTATGATGCATTGGGCGCCCGAGTTATCCGGGGTAACTCGGGTCCGGGGTAACTCGGGTTCGGAATCTCGACAAAACCAACCCGAGTTAGCCCTGACCCGAGTTACCCCTGATGATTCGGGGCTCTGGACGCCCGAATTATCCGGGGTAACTCGGGTCCGGGGTAACTCGGGTTCGGAATCCCGAAAAACCAACCCGAGTAAGCCCTGACCCGAGTTACCCCTGATGATTCGGGGCTCTGAATGCGTGTGCGCGGTGTGAGCCGCTGCGCACAACATTGCGCACATGCCTGTGGCCCGATTCGTCGCTCCGTGGGGTGCATCTTTGGCCAAGCTCGGGGCCCGATACTGGCCGGCATCTGGGGGCCGACCCGCTGCGCTCGTGGACCACCTCGCTCCCCCGGCCCCGTGTCCTACAGTCGGGGCGGATTGAAGAGGACACGCGAGAGGACACAATCAGGGGGGCGTAAGACCCGGGTACAGGGGACTCGGAAATTCCCGACGAGGTCGTCAAAAAAATGACGAGGCCGAGCCTGCATTTTGACGAGGCCTCCCGCTGCAGACATCCCACGAAACTCGTACTCGTCAAAATCCGAGTCGCGGTCGTCAAAAAACGATGGCGAACCTGAGTCCTGGCAAACCCGGGTCTTACGCTCCCCCGACACAAGACTCTTCCGAGGGCCCCATTGCCATATGAATGCGGAAGCATGGGTCGCGAGGCACAGGACACAAAGGGCACCCTTGACTTGGCAGGGTCGACCTACTAATCCGGCTCGACTGTACTCCTCCTCCTCCTCCTCCTCCTCCTCCTCCTCCTCCTCCTCCTCCTCCCCGCTCCCTGGAGGTCGCCACGGGTTCCCCAAAAGGTATACCCTTATGGAGGCGCGTCCAGAAGGCCCTGGACCCCAGAGGCAACCCCAAAAACACACCGCGCCCAGATCTCGAACCTCGGGGCTCCTCCTCGTCATCTTCCTGTTCCTTTCCCTCCCCCTCCTGCCGTTCCACGTGCCACCTTCAGGTTTTTGGACCGCGCTGGTCTCACCCGACGCTGCCGCCCGCCAGGGCCGAACTGGCCAGGGACTTAGCAAATATGGCTGACGCACCCAAGGAAGTTTTGCAACCCGACTCCTGGGCGCCCAACGTCGCCGCCATATGGCCACAACATCTAAGTGCGATCAGCGGGCCTGGTCGCGTTTGCCACTCTGGGCCCATGGTTCCAACGGGGTTCGGTGCCCTCGGGAGGCATCGGGGGCGCCCTTCGGGCCAGCGGAACGCCTATCCCGAGAGAGCGGCGGCGGTCCACACGAGTTCTGTTCCACCTCGGGATCGTTAGGACGAGACTAAGACTGAAATGGTCCTATGATACGAGACGCGCAGGGTGTGTTTCAAGATTTCCAACGTAATTATCCAGCGGTCCTCGTTTCTGCAACCCGTGTGGACATTCAGGGGGTCCGGGAACGTCTGGAAAACCAGCAACGCATCATACTCGTACCCTCTTGCTCGTCTGAGCGAGGCGCGCCGCTCCCGCCGCCGCGGGCGCTGCTCGGCCCCTGGGCCCCGGAGGCAGGAATTTGGAATTGCGCTCTGATTCGCCGAGGAGACGGTCAGCTTAGTGCGGCACTCACTAGCTGCTGGCAGAAACACGCAGTATCTAGCAGCAGGCAGGAGGGGGGAGGAGCAAACGGGGGCCTCGGCGAGGGCGGGCGCGGGATGCGGGAAGGGTGAAGCAGAGAGGGGGGGGGGGACTGAAGGGATTCTGCCGGATTCTGCGGCCTTGCCCCGCAAGTGGCAGAACTACCCTCGGTCACTGTAGGGCGAAGGGGGGGGGGGGAAGAGGATGGGGGAAGAGTCACGGACGGGGCCAGTGCCTCGTGCCCACTTGGCCCCCACATGGCCATTCGCAATCCACGATGCCTTCTGCTGTTCCTCCTGCTCCTTCTTGTCCCCTCCCCCCCTCACCCCTTCACCCTCTCCCATCATTCTGGGCGCAGCCTCGGCGGAAAGGTTGCCCTGGCCACCTACGCGAAAAGGGGGCCAAACGCCCCCACCCCCCCGACTCCCGAAAGCATGGGAGCCGCATCGACGCTGACGGGGGCTCGGGGGAAGTAAAAGGGATGAGAAAAACAAAAAGAAAGAGAAGAGGGCCCGCCTCAACTGCTCGAAGAGCAGCACCACCCCGCCGAAAGCGAGTGGTCGCCATGCCTCCCTGGCGCTTCCTGCACCAAAGGGCACCTGTTACCCCGCGCGCCGTGCGGGGCACACGGCGAGAGGTACCGCGCACGGGCAACCAGGCCCGCCCCCAGAGGCCCACTCGCCCAAGGGGGGCCAGGCGGTACAAGTCTTGAGCCGCACCCGAACATGGCCGCCCCCCCGGCCACACCCTTGCCCCGCGACGTCACGGGAGGGCCAAGTGGCTGGAGCCTGCCCCCACACCAGGCAAGCACCACGCAGGCAGACGCAGACCGGAGGACCCATCCGCGCCAGCCCGGAGGTTTCACCCTCGCGCCCCCAAAGCGCCAGGTCCTCGAGGGACCTGTGACGGCAGACCCATACCACACCTCTGCTAGAGTACACGGGCAGCGCCCAAAGCCCCACAGGGCACCGACGCCCCTAGCCCGCCGCGCCGCCCTCTCAAAAGGCGACGTTTTTTCGCGGAATTCAGTTGACCCCTGGAACCCCGACGTGTCGCCCTCACTCCAAAATGCCCTCCTGGGGGCCTCTCCCATCATCCTCCCTGATCATCCCGCCCTCCTCCATCCTCCTCCATCCTCCTCCTCCTCCTCCTCCTCCTCCT